TCCCCCATTTTTTCTTGACCTTTAAAAGGTCTGGGGGGGCTTGGGCCCGTCGGATTGGTCTGGTTGCTTATAAAAAGTCTTAAAATAGTCACCCAAATAAAAAAATTTAAATTCAGGATTAGTACTATAACGTAGGTTCCTTTGTTTTTTCTCGATCTTTAAAGCGTCTGGGGGGGCTTAGGCCCTTGGATAGGTCTGGCTGATTACAAAAGATCTTAAAATAGCCAATTAAATAGTATATATAAAATTTAGGAGTACTGCTATAACGAAGGTTCCCCCATTTTTTCTTGACCTTTAAAGCGTCTGGGGGGGGCTTGGGCCCCTCGGATTGGTCTGGCTGCTTATAAAAGGTCTTAAAATAGTCACCCAAATAAAATATGTAAAATGCAGGAGTACTACTATAACGTAGGTTTCCCTATTTTTCCTGGACCTTTAAAGCGTCTGGGGGGGCTTGGGCCCCTCGGATTGGTCTGGCTGCTTATAAAAGGTCTTAAAATAGCCAACCAAATAAAATATGTAAAATTCAGGAGTACTACTATAACGTAGGTTCCCCCCTTTTTTCCTTGACCTTTAAAGCGTCTGGGGGGGGCTTGGGCCTCTCGGATTGGTCTGGCTGCTTATAAAAGGTCTTAAAATAGTCAACCAAATAAAATATGTAAAATTCAGGAGTACTACTATAACGTAGGTTCCCCCCTTTTTTCTTGACCTTTAATGCGTCTGGGGGGGGCTTGGGCCCCTCGGATTGGTCTGGCTGCTTACAAAAGGTCTTAAAATAATCACTCAAAAAATATATGTAAAATTCAGGAGTACTACTATAACGTAGGTTCAGCCCTTTTTTCTTGAGCTTTAAAGCGTCTGGCGGAAGTTAGGTCCCCTGGAATGCGTCTGGCAATAATGAATGTTGGTTTTTAATAACAATGTGTAAAACATATATGAAAACCAGCGGTATTACTTTAACGTAGAAAGGTACCTTTTTTATGTACCTTTAGTGCCCGTTATCTGTAAAAGGGCCCCGCTTTCAAGCTAGCAAGTACCCATACGTTTTTAACTACATATTAAGACATTTATTAAAAAAATCTCAGCAGTATTAAAATGACGTAGGTCTGGCAGCTCTGGGATCTTACTCTAATAGTTTTATAAAACTGATGATGCTTACGCGAGGGCGCGAAATAAGTAAATAACGTATTTTAGGGCATATTTAGCAAATTTTGCAAAATATATTTATTAATAAAAAATGATTTATTATTTTTTACTTAACACAGCTTTATTGTAAACAAAACGTGTAACATTTAATAAAGAAAACATATTCTACAATAAGCATGTATTTACAAATGCATTATTTATTAATTAAAATTGTATCATTTTTTTTTATGAAAGTTTGACAAAATATATTTATTTATTAAAAAATATGATTTATTTTTAATTAATAGATATATCTATGTTTTAAATTTATTAATCCGTTTGGTTTTTATAAAGAAATATTTATTTCTTTTAATCAAACTCAATAAAACAATTGACATAATAAAGTATGAGTATGAGTATAAGAGTCGTATAACCAGCCCCATTTCCTCTTGACTCTCGAACCCCGTACAGGCCTATGTTTACTTACGCCGATTTTTGTTCTTCCCCAGCAACTGCACGGCTTCACCCGTGTTTGCTGGGTGCGAATGTCCATTGCGTTCCGTACTGTCCCCTATTTGGGGCTCGAGAGCGAGAGGCGAATAGTTTTAATAGCCGTTCCCGGGTTCGCCGAGCATATGCTATACGCTCGGTGGGGTATGGAGGAGGGACGGGAGGGTGTTGGTTTTTGGGGGACAATTACGCCGACTTAAAACTAAGTACGACGCGGAATCCCCCTAGACCAGTCGATTAGTATTACTCCAAACATTTGGGATTACTATTTGGAGTTGGGGAGATGTTATTTCGCTGCAGGGGTGTAGTTTCCTAGTCGAGGTCTTTGTCTTGTTCGTTATTGTCATTGTCCGTGTCCTGGTCAGATAGTTCCTGCACTTGGTAAAGTGTGTCAGTTGTTTTTAAAAAATTTTGTCCCAAGCACGTTTTGTGATAGAGTTTTGTCTTTTTTTTATTATTAATTCCAAAATTAAGCATTGCATTTATTTATTAGTCAAACAAATTACAAGCGCGATTATTCTGTTGTCTAATGTTTACAAATCTCGAGTTTGGCTATTAGGCTTTTTTTTTAATGTGTGTCTAGTGTTTATTTTCGGTCTCGATTGGGACCGCCTTACGCATTTGTTGTTGACAGATTTATTGCCCCACGCTGTGTGCCTTTCATAGGTTTTAAGGATATCCCAATAAACACTTTAACGGTAACATTGCCCGTGTAAGAATTTTTAATACTTTTCAATACAATTTTGCAATGATAGTAATTAAAAACAAAACAATTGTTTAAGGAGTAAAATATGTTCTTAACATAATCATATTAGAGTTATTTTAACATGTTCAAGTAAAAATAAATATTATGTTTAATAAAATGAATAACCCCAGGTAACCAAACGTGACTAACATTTTTAAATGTGACGTTAACGTGGCCAATATCTTAACTATAAAGTTGTGACCTATATATCTTTAACGAAAATTAATAATTTTGGAGATGTCGATTTGATATAGAATCTGCCTTTACCAATGCTTTCACGATTTTCCATAGACTTACTTTGCTAAATTAATCGTTATATAAACGTGACTTTATTGTCAAGTGATAACGTTATAACAAAAGTCACGGTATACCGTGACTTTAACTTTACGATTTTCCGTGTCTTTAGCTACCCTCTTAATCCTTATTCAATTCGCCATTATTGTCAAATAAGTACTTATAGGCACAATCCACACATGGATTGTGCTTATAGGTAGGTATATTGATCTGATTTTGTTCTGTTTAGTGTTCCCGTGCAACTAATTTGTTTTGAAATTGGTTTATTTAAAAATTATTAGCTTGTGTTTAGTTTTTATTATATACTTATTATTTTCTTTGGAAGGCGTTAATTGTAAGTATTGTTTTTCATATTGTTTTTCTATAAAAATAATTATAGGTGATGTTAACATTCATTTTATTATTTTAATGCCTTTTAACATTACCTAAATATTTAACAAGTACCCAAGTGGTTTTGATTTAAAAACTTAATTATGCAAAAATTCTGTTTACTTTATTATGTAGAGGAGGTATATAACTAGTGTTCACATTAATACTTTGTTTCAGCAAGAGAAAAAAGAAATACAGCAAAATATCGAGTAGAAGAAAAAATATTTACTGAATATGCTTTAGAAAATTATTTATTTGGTTTTTATCCTTTTGAATAAGAATATATTTTTTTAGGGATAGGTATTTATTTAGTTTTTTATTGTTTTTATAATTTGGTTTGAGAAATATATTGTTTTGTTAAAGGTATTATTATTAATTAATCATAAATTCTTCTGAAACCTGTTCCATTTCAGTGTTTTGTGCTTATTTAATTATTTAAAATATACATATAGCTATAGCTTACTATAGTAAAAATTTAGGACTAATTCCAGCAATCTGAGACTTGAGCAGATTAGTTAAAGACAGCTGTCACTAGTGGCGAGTGGGGGATTTGGGGTATACTGATATCTTAGTTATTAGACATGGGACCCAAAACTTTTATGAAGTTGTAATAAAATTAAAAATTGTTGCGAAAAAATTAAGTTTTTCAGCGTGCCCCCCTAATTAAGATGATTCAAATTAAGGTGGTGCAATTAATAACTCACTATAGTTTATAACAAATTTCAAAATTTATTTAAAAAATCCAAGATTACAAATATTATACCATTTTTTAAATTTTATTTTAGGATAAAAAAAAGTTTAAATGGTATAAAACCTACTTGGAATTTGAAATAAATTTTGAAATTTGTCGATAAACTGCACTGAGTTATTAATAGCACCACTTTAATTTGCATTATCTTAATTAGGGGGCAGGGGACTGGGCTGAAAAAAATTACTTTTTTCGCAAACTTCAATTTAATATTATTATAAACTCATAAAAGTTTGGTTTGGGTCCTATAGGACCCAATAGGACATATATGTATAATAACTGAGATATTGGTATACCGGTATATATACCAAAAATCCACCAGCCGCCACTGGTTAAAGATACGGTCACAAATTCAAAATCGAATATAACTGTATTTTCGTGTTGATTTAGTAACGATTACAGCGTCACGTAAACGTTATGTAGATTCGGTTTAAAATCACGATAACGCTAACGTGACGATCACGTTATAACGGCAGGTGAGCGGTTTTGTGAAAAATTTGAGTTTAAAATTGATATAGTTTCGACGATTATACACGTGACGATAAAGAAAACATACATACAATTTCTGTCACTTTTTCGTTACGTTTGGTTACCTGGGACGGGCAATGTTAATGGTGACAAATAACGGAAAATGTTTGCTGGGATCTGCCGTATTTAAATTGCAGATTTGTATCGGGTCATGCATATTCTCAAAGTAACTTATCAGCTTTTTTTTGCGGATGGCCACCTCCCCTCCTGCCTGACCTCCCCCGTCCGTCCAGTGAAAAGCCTCCAATGACAGGTGGCACCTAACTTATTCGTCACTCAGCACTTCACTCCTCAATGACCGTTACACCATTTTAGCTTGCACTCCATGAAAATGTTTGTTTCACTTATTAGTTTGCACTTTTTTTTATAATTATTGTTGGTTTCATCTTTAAACTTTTACGTTTCAAGAGCTTTCCCGCACGCGACGTGTCTTCTCGAGCGCTGGAACCGAACTGATAAAACAATTGACATAATAAATAAAAATATATTAATTTTGCCCTATTGAAATAATAAACAAATATTTGTTATTCAGAAACAATATTTTTTAATTATAACTGAAAACTACCAAATATATGATTTGTTTATTACAATAGTATGATTTCTCTCAGTGTAATGAATGCGCAAGATACCATATAAAAAAATCCGCTACTAAAAATATAAATTAATGTTTTCCATATTTCCTAGGTGGAATCTACTACATTATCTCGAGATCTCTCGGTCCGGAGTTCGGCGCCTCAGTGGGCATAGTATTCGCGTTCGCGAACGCCGTATCCGCCTCGATGAACACCATCGGCTTCTGCAACTCGCTGAGCGACCTGCTCAACGTCTACGATCTCAAAATCATCGACGGCGGCGTGAACGACACGAGGATCGTGGGTACCGTCGCCATAATCGTGATGATTTGCATCTGCGCAGTGGGCATGGAGTGGGAATCCAAAGCGCAGAACTTCCTGATCGCCATCATTTTGGGGGCCATGGCTGATTTTATCGTGGGGGCTATTATAGGGCCCCAAAACGACTTGCAGCTGGCCCGGGGATTCGTTGGATTCAATCGTAAGTAATTTTAGTAATTATACAGGCGGACAAAAATAAAATTTCTGTTTGGTGCATGGCAACCAACAACTTTTTAAGGGTAATTTAGGAACGCTGAATCCAAAAATGAACATCATTTTGCTCCATCAGCTATTGTTTTTGCGATGTAGAATAAAAACCATTTTTTTCGATATGCGCACATTCAAATTCTTATATATATTTTTTTAAACTTCTAATTTAAGCAAGGATAGTTGGGAATGTTGCTATGGGTCTTTATTAAACTAAAAAAAAATACCATATACATTGATAATGGTATTCGCTTTAAAACTATTGCTTTCATCGAAATGAAATCGATTTTTTAGCCAAAATTCGGATATTTTTAAAATTCAAAGTGATACAGCATGATCAATTTTTGCCCGATTTAAATAAAATTTACCCCATTTGTAGCTCTATTTATCTACTTTATAGTGTTACAATTTCAATGCAATCAAAAATTGAATGAGAGTAGTGCTGCCGTGCTAAGCTAAACCCCAGTATCTGCAATATTAAATAAAAGATCATTTTCATTGTTAAAAACAATAAAAAGAATCTTTTGTCCTTTATTATTTAATATTGCAGATACGGGGGTTTACTTTAGCACGGCAGAGTGTATGATAGTAGAGTATTGAGAGCAGCAGCAGATACTGTACTCATACTCTCCTACACTAAAACGAATAGAAAAAAAACAATAATATTTCTTATTAGACATACCTACTTAGGTCTAAAATCTTAGGCACAAAAATTGTCCACTTAAATAGGCTCTGTGAATATTAATAGCTATTCACGGAGTTTATTTAAGTGGTACACGCAGTACCCAATTTTGGTTGATTTTATTGTCATGTTGCCAATTTTTATTTGATTGCATCACAATAAAGTAGATAAATACACGAAAAAAAATAATCGGTAGAGGCTACCGATTGGCAATCGGTAGACTCTACCGAAAATATCGGTAGACTCTACCGAAAATATCGGTAGACTCTACCGAAAATATCGGTAGACTCTACCGAAAATATCGGTAGACTCTACCGAAAATATCGGTAGACTCTACCGAAAATATCGGTAGACTCTACCGAAAATATCGGTTGACTCTACCGAAAATATCGGTAGACTCTACCGAAAATATCGGTAGACTCTACCGAAAATATCGGTAGACTCTACCGAAAAAATCGGTAGACTCTACCGAAAAAATCGGTAGACTCTACCGATAAAAACGGTAGTCTCTACCGAAAAAAAATCGGTTCCCTCAACTGACTTTTATCGGTAGTAGCTACCGATTATTTTTCGGTAGAGTCTACCCATTTTTTCGGCAGAGTCTACCGATTTTTTCGGTAGCCGTAACCGAGAAAATCCGCATCGATGCGCTGTTAGAAAATTAAAAAAAAAATATTAACATTTAAAAATAATATTAAACATTATTCAAGTTAATAAAAATTACTCTTTTCAGTCAAACATTTTGAGATGGTATTCATTGTAATTATTAAAAAATAGTCAGTGTAAATAATTGTATACATTTTCTCATGTTCTCGATTAAAACATTGTATTTTGATCAACACTATCATGCTTATTGCGTTGAAATTGATTATAAATCAAGTATGACAAAGAATAAGAGCAAATTACCAAATTTAGAACCTTGTTTATTAATACAAAAAAAATCTCTACTTTGTAGCTACCAGACATTTAATTTAATATTTATTTAGAATTGTAAAAAATTTAATAAAAATTACTCCTCATTTTTAATATTTTTGTATTTCAAATTTATTTATACCTCAAAAAAAATACTATTTTCTATTTAATAAAAAGCGAGTATTTAACTTCTCGCTAAAAAAATACAAAAATTTTCAAAAATTGGTAATCGATTTTTTCGGTAGCCTGCACCGAAAAAATCGGTAGACTCTACCGAAAATAATCGGTAGCTGCTACCGATAAAAGTCAGTTGAGGGAACCGATTTTTTTTCGGTAGAGACTACCGTTTTTATCGGTAGAGTCTACCGATTTTTTCGGTAGAGTCTACCGATTGGCAATCGGTAGCTGCTACCGATTGCCAATCGGTAGCCTCTACCAAATATTTTTTTCCGTGTAGAGCACAAATAGGGTAAATTTTATTTAAATCGGGCAAAAATTGATCATGCTGTATCACTTTGAATTTTAAAAATTTCCGAATTTTGGCTAAAAAATCGATTTTCTTTCGATGAAAGCAAGATTTTTAAAGAGAATTCAATTATCAATGTATATGGTATTTTTTTACAGTTTAATAAAGACCCACAGCAACTTTACCAACTATCCTTGCTTAAATTAGAAGTTAAAAAAATATATTTAAACATTTGAATGTGCGCATATAAAAAAAATGGTTTTTTGTCTACATCGCAAAAACAAAAGCTGATTGATCAAAATGATGGTCATTTTTGGATTCGGCGTACTCAAATTACCCTAAAAAAGTTGTTGTCTACCCTGCACCAAAATGGCCGTCGGCCAGTGTTATAGATATTTTAATAATTTTAATCTAAAATAAGTTAGTCCCTGAGGTTTAATTATTTAAAATTTTTATGATTTTTAAGTTTAATTTCCTTGAATGTTTCTCGTCATGGTTTAACATGAATTTTATAAGTTTATTTATGGTAATCTAGGTCAAATTTTCCATACTGTTTTTTTATAATTTTCAATGATTATATTAGTTTACATGGATTTAACATATATCCATAATAGGGTGTTTCAAAATAAGGCAATATTTTTCTTTTTTCAAATTCATGTGAAATTCTTGTCACTTATGCTGAAAAAAAATACTGTCAAAATTTGAGCTCTAATTAATTAATTAATTAATTAATTTTAAAAGGTCCATCATCGAATTTAAAATTTTTCCATTGATTTAACATGGAAAATAGTTTTTTAATATTTATTTCGCCTGCATGCTATGTAGAACTTTTTTTTTGATAAACAATCACTGGTCCTTTCTTAGCATTAAATTATCTACAAAAAGTCCAGTTTGTAATATTAATTTTAAAAGGTCCATCACCGAATTTAAAATTTTGCCATTGCTTTAATATGAAAAAAATAGGTTTTTAAGATTTATTTCGCCTGCATACTATGAAGAACTTTTTTTTGATAAACAATCACTGGTCCTTTTTTAGCATTAAATTATCTACAAAAAGTCCAGTTTGTAGATTCAACTCTTTATTTTTTATTAACGTTGAAACGTGTATCTAAAAAAAATTGATATTTTTACATTTAGCGGCTATAGTAGGTACTAATCGTAAAAGAAAAAGTGAATTACCAATTTTAAAGATCTTTTTAATGCTGTACAAATTTGTTTTAAACAATGTTTGCAAAATTGTCCCTGAACTTTTTTCATAAAGTGAATATTATAATAATACATTATGCATAATCATGAAAAATTTTCATTGAAAATGGGATTTTAGACACTTATAACTTTTGAACTGTAGTTGATAAAAAAAAATTAATCAAAACGAATTTGTAGAACATTAAACGATCTTCAAAATTGCTAATTGACTTTTTTTTCTACGATTTGTAGTTTAGCCGCTAAACGTAAAAATATCAATTTTTTTTTAGAATTTATACGTTTCAACGTTAATAAAAAAGAAACAGTTAAATCTACAGACTGGACTCTGTAAGATTTTTTGTAGATAATTTAATGCTAAAAAGGATTGTTTATCAAAAAAAAAGTTGTACATAGTATGCAGGCGAAATAAATCTTAAAAAAATATTTTTCCTTGTTAAATCAATGGAAAAATTTTAAATTCGATGATGGATCTTTTAAAATTAATATTACAGACTGGACTCTGTAAAATTTTTTGTAGATAATTTAATGCTAAAAAAGGACCAGCGATTGTTTATCAAAAAAAAAGTTCTACATATACTATTTAGTATGCATCTTAAAAAACTATTTTTCCATCTTAAATCAATGGGAAAACTTTAAATTCGATGATGGACCTTTTAAAATTAATATTAGGAGCTCACATTTTGACAGATTTTTTTTAGCATAAGTGACGAGAATTTTACATGAATGAACACCCTAATACATATTTTTTTTTTAATTTTTATTTAAAAAAAACCAACATCTTGCTATTTAAATAGGGGCTAAAGCTTTATTTATCATTATCGAAAAATGTGCTAAATTAATACCAGTTTACCTATCCAAGAACATAATTTTGAGAAAAACGGGTTTCAAGTTTTACAGCCGCCTACGAATTATTATACTGCCCAAGCAGCATTTTAAGTAACTACAAATTTACTACTGTCAACTTTAAAGTATTTTTTACGCTTAACCAAAACGGTTTTATAACGGTATAGATACATAATAACCTTTTTGATCTAAAAGAGAATAACGTAATAAAAACAATATAAATACCACAAATTTACGTAAAAATAATGCTATAATTACTAACTCTCTTTCCAAAACATTGACATTCGTAATTTCTTTGTTCTTTTAATTTATATTTTACAAAATAGTACTTACAAAAACTTAAAACCTACAAAATTTTATATAATCTTTTAAAAATCATTATATTTTTAATCATTTTAATCATCAACTAAAACTTTCCTTATTATATTTTAGAAAAATATTTTTGAAAAAATATTATATAAATTTTTAGATAAGTAATGGATGCCATCTTAAAAAACTCATTATGGCGAGCTGAAAAAAAATTTCCCTTAAAGTTTTATTTTCCACTTTAAGCTTATTTTTCCTTTTGGGTCAATATTAATAGTATTTATTACCACTAATAACCCTAAAAAATACCAGACGAATAGGAATTATTTACGGTTATAAAGTTGTCTTAATATCGTAAAATTATGACTTGTGAGTAACATTTACCATTAAGTAAAAATTCTGACGTTAAAAATAACGTTAAATTTTCCTTTAGGTGAAAGTAATTTTCTTTCGTAAAAATTACGTCCCTCATAATACTTTAAAGTGTTGAAACTTTTTCGAGCGTTTTTATTATTAAATAAATGGGCTTTAAGGATATTTTCTCGAAAAACCCTTGAACACGTAAACTGATATAAGTTAAAGTATTTTTATCCAATTTTTTTTTACTTATTATGCGTTAATTTTGACGCGCACTGTAGTTACTAACTAATTACTGACTATAATAACTATAGTTAATATAGTTACCGATCTAGTTACTTATACCTAGTAAGTAATTTTTGTTATTATAATATTTATTATGTTCCTATCTACCTAATTGTTCAAATTTTTTAATTTTTAATTGTTGTTACCTAATAATAATTTTTTTGTTCGATAAATATAGTTTACTCCCAATTTAGGTAGCAAAACTGGTTAAATAACTAGAATTCCAAAGTAACCAAAATTACCCGTGGGTAATCTAAGTAAAATAACGTTTTTTTAAACTTGTTTTTTACCAATTATTTGTAATCAACCATTAACATTTTTTTGAGGTTACTATGTACTAAAAAATATCCCTCTAAATTTATAACGTTAAGGTAAATTCAAAGGTTATTTTTTATTATAATTTAACTAAAAAAGAAACCTATTGGTAATATTACTAACTAGTTAAATATTTGGTTTATTGATAGTCAATTTTTAAACTCTTGAAATAACCTAAATTGAAAATAAAATAAATGAATAAACCGGTTAATTATAGTTTAAGTAGTAGTTTAAAAACTACCAAATATTAACTTCTTTTTAACCAAAAGGTACATTAACCCAAGTTAAATTACTACCATAACGTTAATTTTACCATAATTAAATTCCCCACTTATTACAAAATAACGTTTATTTAAGGTTAATTTAACGTTATAGTACAATAATAATTATTGTATATATTATATTACTTAAATTATATTACTTTAATAAATTAATTAGGCATAACAAATTTAACCTTAATTTAACCAGTTGTGCTACTTGGGCTGTATACTGTTTGTAACTTTAAAAATTTTGGAAATAATTAAAACTTAAAAGAAATTAAAAACGCAAAAAGATTATGGCGATTAAGGTTAATCGTGAAACCCTATAGGGTTTGATTATGATTATGATTATAATCATGAATCCTTAATCGCTGCACCACTAACAACTATTTTATTTTATTAACTTTAATAATTTAATTTTTATATTCAAATTTTAATAATGTAATGCGTAAAATGCAAAAAATTCAAGATTGGATATTTTTCCTATAAAAATCAATATCTAATATTAACAGGTTGTTCTTCGTCAATGAGGGGCCGTCATACACAAGTAAAAATTGTTTACTTGCTCTAGTATATTTACAAATAATCCCATTAAAGAACAAACCATTAAGTCCTCACTTACGTAATTAAATAACAGGGGGATGCTGTTTTGAAATTACATACATAAGTACAAAAATGTATGTGTTTTTTTACTTATAATTAAATAAGTGGATCTTGTTATTGTGACATGAAAATACAATTATTTAACAATGACCATGACCTGGTTGTATACATTTATAAATGTGTGATTTTAATATTTGACAGTAATAACTATATAATATTATTTTAAAGTTATAAACTTTCCTTCTAAAAACATTAATTATTAAATTATTGACTCACTATAACAACAAAACTAAGTAGGTAATTTCGTTAAATTAAAATGTTGAAAACAAATTAGTTTTAACCACTTCAACAATTTTGTTGACACTTTCAAATTAAACGATTACGGACAATATCTGCTCAAAGCAGTAATTTATTTTTCATTTTTTTCAAACAAATTTTTTACTTAATACACTCACAGGCAAAATAATCGATCCACACAAATTTTCGATGAATTTTAATCGCAAATAACTTTTTGAATGGATGTCGGATTTAAACGAATATTAAAGAATATTGTAGATAAATTAATGAACAATCGCTCACATTTTAAAAAAATACTAAAAAATAGACGTACGTTTATAATATACAGGTTTAAACAAAAATATGTTTTTTACCATAAGTTTAAGATATTCTGTAGAGTGGCAAAACCGTATATTGTTCTAAATTAAGTTTTATTTATCAAGTCACATCTATTCTTAACAGTTTTGTTTTTGGTTCATCTCGATATTTTTATTTTTGTGGAAAATATGGACTTTTAAAAAAAAACATTGCAATATCCAATATTTTTCTGTATGAAGAACTAAGGTTGCTATGGTCCATCCAGGGACAGTGACAGTTTTGTTGAATCATCCCATACTTTGACGTGTCATACACGCACGGTGCTGTTCTGAGAGGTGATTTTTGGACTTTCTGTGAAACCTAATTTTTTTTATATATTCTTGTTAATTAGGTCATAACTAAAATTTTAAGAGCAAAATAAAAAAAAAATTGACGGTTTGAATTGTTTTAATTGGCTGTTTATTAAAAATATTATGCACTCTTTCAATTATCCAATTAAAACTAGCGATTTAATTTAAATATTTAATATTTGCATAACTAAAAAAAGGTTTTTACAATTTTTTTTTATATATTTAACTGTTTTGTTGCAATAAACGTTCAAACTTTTAATCTAACCTTTGACGTATACATTTATGTTCCCTTAATTAATATATCCTTAAAGGTTGCCATGAAACTTATTATTTATTTGATGTTTAAATTGTCATTTTCAGTATACGTATTCTATAATTTTTGTTTAGTTTTTTAAAGTGTTTTTTATAAACAAAAATGAAAAATTGTTGTAAAAGTTACGAAGAAATTCATGAAATTTAACTAAGGACCGGTTTATTCATCTTTAGTAAAGTTTATCGGGCCGATAACTTTCATGTCTTGGCAATATCTAGTATCCAAAGAAATTATTCGTCAAATAAATCAAAAATGAATAAATCGGCCCTAAATAAAATGTGGCACCCTTAGAATTATTGTTTAGTAAATGTATACTATATATTTAACCTTAAATTAAAACTTTAAACGTGTATTACAACAAAACAGTAAAAGATATAAAAAATGTATAGACCGTTTTTTAGGAAATTAACTAATCTTTAATCTGATTTAAAAGTTATGATAATATTTAAATAAAATCGCAAGTTTTAATTGGAGAATTGAAAGTGTGCATACATCCCAGGTAGCACAACGTGACGAAACCGTGACGATTTGTGTCCAATTGGACACAAATCGTCACGGTTTCGTCACGTTGTGCTACCTGGGATATTTTTAATAAACATCCAATTAAAACAAAATTAACCGTCAAATTTTTTTTATTTTGCTCTTAAATTTTTAGTTATGACCTAATTAACAAGAATATAAAAAAAAATTAGGTTTCACAGAAAGTCCAAAAATCACCTCTCAGAACAGCACCGTGACACGGCTTTCAAAAGCTATCAAATTGTATTTTGCAAATTAATGTTTCAATTTTGAGGTGTCTCCTTACTTTACAAAATTAATTTAATCCAGGATGGACGGTCACAGTATTACGTGGCAAGTGTTTTAAACGTCACAAGAAGTAAAGTACAAATGGCAATATCAGTCGGAGACATTTTTAAAAGTAAGACCCCTCAAAATTAACACATTAATTTACAAAAAACAATTTGATACCTTTTGAAAGCTGTATATGATATGTCCATTGGTCATTGTCCAAGTATGGGATGATTCAACAAAACTGTCACTGTCATCCTCCATAGGTTATGGATGGACCATAGCAACCTTAGTTCTTCATACAGGAAAAATATTGGAAATTGCAATGTTTTTTTTTAAATAATCCACATTTTCCACTAAAATAAATATATCAAGGTGAACCAAAAACAAAACTCTTAAAAATAGATGTGACTTGATAATTAAAACTTAACTTAGAACAATATACGGTTTTGTCCCTCTACAGAGTGTCTTAAACTTATGGTAAAAAACATCTTTTTATTTAAACAGGTATATTATAAACGTACGTGTATTTTTTTAGTAATTTTTAATATCACTAGTAAACAATAAAAAAAGGTCGGTAATAAAAATAGCTCAGATTTTGACCTGCTCGACGCAAATCCGGCGCCCAAAAAATTTTCCAAAGTCTCGTTTAGACGATACGGGCAGGACCATGATACAAAGAAAAATTGTTAAATAATATCGATAAAAATTAGTAAATAAAAAAGGTCGGTAATAAAAATAGCACACTCCTATAGATTTTCACCTGCTCGACGCAAATCCGGCGACCAAAAAATGTTTCAAAGTCTCGTTTAGAAGATACGGGCAGGACCATGATACAAAGAAAAATTGTTAAATAATAACGATAAAAATAAGTAAATAAAAAAGGTCGGTAATAAAAATAGCACAGTCCTATAGATTTTGACCTGCTCGACGCAAATCCGGCGACCTAAAAATTTTCCAAAGTCTCGTTTAGACGATACGGGCAGGACCATGATACAAAGAAAAATTGTTAAATAATAACGATAAAAATAAGTAAACAAAATAATTCGAACGATAAAAAACAGTAAATATCAAAAAAACATGCCTTAAATTTTTACAATATGTACAGATATGTTGTTCATGGAATGCTGAAATATAAGTTAAAAGTAACGTCATCCTAAAATTTTCAAATCTATGCAATAAATGGTACCAAAATACTGTGCTCCTATTTTTTATTTCCGACTTCAGAAAATTTTTTAAAAAACATTTTGGATCTATTTCAGTCATAAACAATCGAAAAATTCTATTTTTAACCAGGACCTTTTTTTTAAGTTAAAATTTGTTGCCTAGTGTATTCTTTAATATTTGTTTAAATCCGAAAACAAATAAAAAAGTTATTTGCGATTGAAATTCATCGAAAATTTGTGTGGATCGATTATTTTGCCTGTGAGTGTACTTTTTAATATTTTAAATAAAATTTTAAACCAACATACCAGGAACACTTTTTATGGACAAAAGTTATGAGCTCATTATGTCGAATATTTTAGTTACAACTTTTGCTGACAATTGGGGACCAAGTTACAGACCCTCTGAAGGATTAAATTATGACTTTTTCCAAGTTTTTGCCATATTTTTTCCATCTGTCACTGGAATACAAGCTGGTGCAAATATTTCAGGAGACCTTAAAGTAAATATAAAACAGTTAAACCTACTAAAATATTCTAAAGGCACCTTTTTTAGGACCCTGCAGCGGCCATACCAAAAGGAACTTTTCTATCTTTAGTAATTTCTATGATTTCATATGCTGTTTTCGTTATTTTTGCTGGCGGAGCCGCAATCAGAGATGCTAGTGGAAGTATTTCTGACCTAGCCAATGGAACAGTAACAACTAGTTGTATACAGGGATTTAATTGCAAATATGGACTTTTTAACAGTTACCAGGTAAGTTCTTGTTAAGAAACCTTTTATAAATCTGCATTTACATATGTAAAATATCAATATTTCATTTCCCAGGTAACAAACAAAATAACAAAATTTTGTTTTAAAGCGTTCTGAAAGACCATAATAAAACTAAAAATGTTACTTGGTTTGTTACAGATGATGCAAATCATGTCTAGTTGGTGGCCACTTATATACGCTGGATGTTGGGCGGCCACTCTAAGCACAGCCTTGACAAACCTACTATCAGTGCCAAGATTAATACAAGCCTTGGGAATCGACAGAATTTACCCAGGCTTAATTTTCTTCTCCAAAGGTTACGGAAAGGCGGGCGAACCTTACCGCGGATACGTTTTGACTTTCTTTGTATCTGCTGCATTTTTACTAATAGGTCGGTTTAGTTGAGATGCATTAATGCAGTGGTATTAATGGTTTTGTTTTAGCCGAGTTGAATGCTATTGCTCCGCTTATATCGAACTTTTACTTGGCCTCTTACGCCCTTATCAACTTCTGCACATTCCATGCCGCTTTGATAAAGCCTTTGGGATGGAGGCCCACCTTTAGAGTAAGTACAAGACTTCGTGTGTTTTTAAGGGACAATCATATAATCTCGATAGATATAAAGTTCATTTTTTTTATCTGGAATGCGGCAACGTTGCAAATTTAGGGTTTTGATTGGTAAATACAGTTGTCAAGTTGGTCGCATTGATTAAAACAAACTAAGCTAGTTATAAATCTAATTGTGGTTATGTATAAATTATTGTAGGTTACATTGTGCAGTTGTCAAGTTGAGTTGTCAAAATTCGTAGTTAAAAATGCAATTAATTTGGCTTCGGTGGTGCTTGGATGAGTAAAATCATATAAAAAAGTAGTTAAATATAGGTTGCTTTACGGCCCAGAAGAGAAAGTATTCCTAGCGGATAATAATCTTCGCTTGAAAAGAATTTATATAAAAGAAATTAAAATTTTTTGTGAACGTAAATGTTCTCCAATGGTGAATAATGTAAAAATAATGTGTGATGTAATATTTATAAAACCAAATTCGTTACTTTTTTACTCCAAAAATGTCCATAAGGCGATGTACTTTTTCTTCCATTGTGGCATTTGGCATAATTTCATCAAAATGAAGTTTTGCCCTCAAAAGGGCTTTTACATTCGAATTCGTTGCTATTATTTTTGGCATAATTATCTTTTTATTTATAATTGACAAGTAAATTATTAATAATAAATATTATTGTCAATTTGACATTGTCAAAGTATTAAATTAAATTCTTTAGCAGAAGTACCCAGTGGCGGCTCGTCAGGGTAGGCCTCTGAGGCCGCGCCTCACCCTTAAAATGAAGGAACGAACGACTTTTTGTATTTATATTTTTGCCTATTACAAGTATAATTTACAACAGTTCTATCCAATAAAAAGTAAAAAACCAATGAATAATATTAAGCGTAAATAAAAATCGTTGGACAGACTCTGTCCGACAGAGGCGAAATTTTCACAGCCTCGGAAGCTCCCTTTTACGTCTTGAAAGCGAAAATGACTCACCAACAAAAATATCGCCGTAAGTTCGCGAATAAACACCGTAGATGAGGCGAAATTTAGTTAGCTTGGTTTGTTCTGATTGGTGGTCCGTTTATGGTGGGATGCCAGCGGAGACAAAGAAGGTTGCCAGTCTTCTCTTAGCGTTTGTAGAGCACGTTATTGTTTTGATTCAGATTAAATTATTTAAAACTTTTGGCTGATCTTTTATAGTTTTTGTCTCGATTAGTAAAATTTCTTATTTAATTATTGTAGGGAACACACTAAGGTAGATTTAACAGTTTTTATTAAGCAAATTTTATATTTTGAAATAATAGATTGCATAATTCTTCAATTAGAGACGCGGTTTGAAAATTTAGAATTACTTTTAAATCTCACTGCAGACCCACAATTTTACGACCAAATAATAGATAAATTTTCAATCTTAAAAGATAGACGTATAGACTATAATATTTTATATTTTTTAATACTTAGGTAGGGGTCGACTTTTTAGTTTTATTTTTATTTTTTGATTAATTTATTTATTTTTAACTTTTTTAAGACTATATTTTAAGTTTAAGATTAAAACTAGTCTTTGATGTGATATTTTGTTTGTTTTGTTTTTTAGAGTTTATTTTTTGGTTTAGTAGTGCTATCGGCTCCATTTTAAAAAAGGTCAACGCGTCGGAGAATAATACCTCCCGGGTGACGTGGAAATTTATTCGTATTTAGACAAAATTAACCTTATGTAGCCTCACCCTCCTGTACACCCACGAGCCGCCACTGGAAGTACCATTTTTAAATACTAAAAATACTAAGTCAAACTGGCAAAAGCCACCAACCTAACAAAACAACACGAGTCCAGATAAAAAAAAATGAACTGTAGCTACATGTAGGTGTGATCAAAGTGATTAAACAGTTATTTTACAATAAAACAAATTTCGTTTCGTCTTTAGACATTTTAAGAGTACCCAGCAAACACAACAGTAGAGGTTGTATAATGAGCCTTTATAAACGTGCCTTTAATGAAATAAAGGCTTATTCTTATGGAACTGTACATATTATGTCGCGTTCACCTTTAAGGGCATCTAACGGCAGTCAATAAAAGCACCATTCCATTTTTTGATATGGCGCGCTAAAGGTTCTGATATGGAAAATTTAAAGTACAAATGTGGCAACCTAAAGTTTCTGATAATTTTTAATGGATAAGCGAAGTATCTATTATGGTGGATTAAATGTGGTAGGTATATATTTATTAGATAAGGATATTCCACGATGATCAGATATTGCTATCTCTACCTTCACAATACAATTTCTGACGGTCGGGATAAAAATTTCCGAGTATCGTGGAATATCCAACTCAATAAATATAAACAAACCACATTTAATCCACCATAACAGGGCCGTATCTAGGGGGGTGGTTTGGGGGTTCAAACCCCCCCGAAAGAAAATAAAATCCCAAAATATAAATTTATATAAAAAAAGTAATACACAGTAAAAAGTTACATTTTTGTTGATAGTTTTCATATTTTTTAAATCACTTTCCATATTTAGAAGATCTAAAACCAGTAAAAGACATCGAAACTTCCTCAAAAGCTTTGCCATTTCTTTGAGCGATTATGACTAGTGAGTTTATCATCAGTATGTTAACTGCGTTCACTTTATTTGCTTTTACTCTACCTTTATGCAGAATTTTACAGTCTGTGGATTTTGATCTAATAAGTGCTGTTGAGCATGTGGATACTGTTATTAGTCAGGTAAGGAATATGAGACTTAATATAGATCAGGAATTTAGCATATATGTATATTTATATATATATATATATAATTCAAAACCCGGCCAAAATATAGAAATTTAAAGTGAAAATGATTAAAAATACATGCTTTTTATATGGAAAAACTACAAAATTAAAAAGGAAGTACTTAGAATCGAAATTAACGGCTCAAATTTTCAGGGAATTTTTTTTTCAACCTAAAAAACAAAATTTTCATTTGTTAGCAAGAAAAAAAAAATCGTTTTAAATGAAACACCCTAATATACATATACATATAATATGTCATATATACATAAAAAAAGTTTACAGTCTCAGGTTAACAGAATTAAAGTGATTTTACATAAAAAATAATATAAATATGGCATATGATTTTTTTTGTATTTTATTTGAAAATATTTGAAATTTTTTATGAGTGTTATTTTTGATCGCTGATATCTTTGGAACGGTTGACCTGAAGAACTTTGACCTTCAGATGTTTTTTGTAGAGCGTGAAATTGTCTATAACTCCTCTCGCTTGGGTGTTGCGAAAACAAACCATTCCAAAATTATAAGAATTCAAAATTTAAAAAATAAAAATTCCCGTGTTATTGAAATGGAAAAACAACAAATGAATTGAGGCAAACCTTAATATTAATATTAAGGGCTAAAATATGCGCCAAAATTTTTGTTTTTTAATGTATTATTAATTTTTCACAACCATTAGCTGCTAATACATTAATTTCATTATTTCACCTGTGACTGTTGCTCGACGAACTCTTTTTCGGTTGAACACTACCGTTTGTAGTAAACTGCTTTACTGTACGGTGAAATGAAATACGTGATGGAATTTTATCCGGAAAACGCTGAGCGTAGATATTAACAGGATCATCAAGATTCCTGCCTGCTTCTCCATAAATCAAAATAATTTCTATTTCTTCTTCCACTGTTAACAAAACCATTATAAATAACTGCTTAACGAAAGGCAGTATTTTCGTTTGCAAATTAATCTTCGAACTAAATTGATTAAATTATGCTAAACTAATTATTATTTTTAACTAAATACCATTTTTTATACTTCAATTAGGATTAAATTATAATAATTGACAAAATAATGTTTTTTACCTTAAATGAGGTATTTAATGCTGGCAGGTAAAAAGTGACCATGGTGCACAATTGATAATTATCACCGAATGAAATAATGTATAAAACTTAAACCAAAGGAAACTTAAATATTAGTTAAAAAATCGTGGGTACTTAAAAAAACAGATTTAATTTAAAAAGATAATTATTACCAAAAAAAGTGATATTTTTATAGAAAAATTATTGCAGAATCGTATACAGAAGAAAAATCGAACAAAATTGATTTTTTTTTCATTACAGCGCCATATATTACAAATATGAAAAAAGTTTTAGACAAAAATTACTAAGTTTCAAGTTAAATGACTCACCCTGTATGTATCACGACAGCCTTTTATCAAAATTAATATTTTTATTAAAACTTTCCTGTGAAGGCCCTGTAGCTTTGGCTAAAAATGCCATTATTAGACCTTGAAACTATGTAATGGGCCATTAAATAATCAGACTTATGTGTTTGTTCTTAAAAAACACCATTCGTATCATTCGCTAATAAATCGCGATAAATAAAATTTATTTTTTAGTATTACAACACATGGTTGAGTTTATTCGGCTTTATCCTATGCGTTGTAATAATGTTCCTCATCAACTGGCAATCGTCATTGATAACTTTCATCGTAATCTTGGGACTCTATCTTCTGGTAGTCTACAGAAAACCTGGTACAACAAAAACCAAATTTATTCGATTACGAAGACTTTACCATTTAATTGGTTTCAGACGTGAATTGGGGATCATCAACTCAAGCACAGACGTACAAAACCGCCCTGACAACAGCTCACAGACTGATCAACATCGGCGAGCACGTAAAAAATTATAAGCCACAAATTATCGTCCTTTGCGGAATGCCTCAGGCCAGGCCTCCGCTAGTCGATTTGGCTAATTTGATTACTAAGAACAATTCGTTGCTAGTGATTGGAGATGTCGTTAAGGTAAGATGAGTTTTTTTTAATTTTGTAACAAATTTTAGACTAACGATTTTTTTAGGATCGTCTTTCACACAGGATTAGAACGACAAGAAATAACAATGTCTATTCGTACTTGAGAAGCATTAAAGTAAAGGCCTTCTACACACTAATTGACAATATGAAATTTGAGGTTGGCGCTAAAGCCCTACTTCAGACGACCGGTATAGGAAAATTAAGCCCAAATGTTCTGATGATGGGCTACAAAAATGACTGGGTGACATGCAACAGAGACGACTTGGTGTCTTATTTCAATGTTTTGCAGTAAGTTTTCCTAAGAAGAACTTTTGTTAACATTATTATTCTCAACTAATTTTGTTTTTAATTCTTATTATAATTAGATATTTTTCATTACTAATAAGTATAGTAAATTTTAAAATATTATGCAGCCATTTTAAATATAAAATATTTTAAAATCGAATATTTTTATATGTTAACAATTAAAAATTGTAACATATTTATTGTACTTTTTAATATTCAAAAATGTTATGAGAAAGAATTGAACCTACACCTCGCCAAAGTTTTTTGTTTTGAGTGCGTTCCATCAACTTCAAATACCGACAGACAGGTATCTTGACCTATATTGGGTATCATCAGTGTCGACACGACACTGTCGAGCAACTTGTAGTAGTGGAACACACCCAAAACAAAAAAATACCTAAGCTTATATAACATGGTTGGTAAGCCAACAGAGGCGAGATGTAAGAACATCACGTGATCCACACCGTCTAACGACGCGTCGCGACGTGGCCTTTGCCGTAATCGGTACATACTATGCAACCAAGTAGGTTCAATTCTTTCTTATAAGTATTACCAGTAATGGGTCAAGAAAGTTCATTGAAGAAACTAAGAAAATTGAATGTTTAAAATGTATATTGTAAATTATATTTAAATATATTTAAATATAATTTACAATATACATTTTAAACATTCAATTTTCTTAGTTTCTTCAATAAACTTTCAATATATATATATATTGTTTATTTACCTTAAACATAAAAGTATACTTTTAAAGGATATATCCTTATTTTTACTATATTTTTTATTAATGTGTAATATATTATAATATTAGATGTACACCTTACATTTGATTAAATCATATAGTAAATATTACTATTTGTAGATAGTGAAATCAATTTACTATACGAACATGTTAAAAATTAAAATATATATTATACATTTATGTTTTAGTAATATTGGTGTTGTAATCTTTACTAAAATTGTATAATAAAAAAAGAATTTTGTATTACAATCTTAATATTGTATTGATATAATATATTGTTACCCTAAAAATTTGTTAAAGTAAATTTTGCTATATTTTTTTTACTATCTAAAATTTACTATACATTTCTCTCCTTGTACTAAATTAATTAATTCATAATAAGAAAATAATGATAAAAACAATGAATTCATCATGAATTTTTCATAAATTCATGGATGTTAATATAGTTAGAAAACTAAACTTTAATTTAAATAAAGTGGATACAAAAAAATTATAAAAAAGTAAAAACTTTCCAACGTATTTTTTCAGTGCCGCCCTCGATCACAGAGTGTCCGTGGCGATACTGAGGCTGCCGAACGGACTTGACTATAGCAAGATAACCCAAGACCAAGACGATCAAGGTATCAGTATCGGGGAAGCGAATGTGCCTGCAAATTTAGAAATGCGAACTTCAGCTTCTAGTAACATGATGCGTGCCGACTCTAACCAAAGTCTTCCTAATGTAGGAGTCGCTTCTGTAGATCTCCCTTCTAAAAGTAAGATTTAACTTTTCACCCGTAATGCCGTTAAAAAGATACGATGAAAAAAAATTCTTGTATCAAATGGTAAATTTATTTGATTCAAAACAATCTTTGTCTCATATATAACGAAGAGAATACATATTCTTTAAAATAGTAAATTATTTTTTTAATTCAAGTTGATTTACTTACTTACTTTCTTTAAATAAAACTTTGATTGTTTAAAAGCAAGAATATATAATTTTTGAAATGAGGCAGCAATGTTTACTTAATTCAAGAAAATGTATTTTCCTTAACCAAATAATTTGTTGATTTAAAGCAAGAATATGTTCTTTTAAAAATAAATTAGTGGTATTCTTAAATAAGTACGAATAGGTACGAAGTCAATTGAAACAGTACGAAATATGGGGTGCAATCAATAAAGTGCATCACGCATTAATATGGTATACAGTAAAATAACGAAATATATGTTGACCTACCCTCGTATAAGGATTAACTTAAAAACAATGCTTTTTATGTATTTTTTAGAATTAACGTGGACTTGATGCAGACTTGCCATAAATTAGGCCAATGCTATTGGTCATTGTCATATTCTTATTGGTCGATTGAAAAAAAACTATATACGACATGATTATGATTTTTTTCATTTTATTAATTAATTAAGCTTTGTTGAATATTTTTCCTTTAGGAATAATTGCCAATGGGCCATTTGATCGTAGATGCTACAATAACCTGCACTGGTGTGTACTTTTTGATCAACCAGATTTAAATATTGATGTACTAATATATACCAGTAGAGATAGTGCAGGGTCTACCAACAGACCTCATTACTAAATTATTAAAGTTTAATAGCATATCGATCGTTTTTTCAACATAACCTCTGAAATTTTTAATACAAATTAATAGAGATGGGAAAATTCCCATTTGACGAAAATTCCCGGAAACTTTCCATCGAAAATTCCCGAAATTTTCCGAAAGTTTCAAAAAAAATTTTTTTATAGCGAAAATATTTTTTTTTATGCCAGGGATTTGCAAAAATATATAACACATTAACTTTTTGTCAAATTTTATTAAGAAAAAAAATTTAAAAAAATGTTTATAAGAATGTAACTACAATACTATTTTTAGTATCTTTTACTTTGGAATAAAAAATAAAAATAAAATGTTTACTATTAGAAATTCACTGCTAGTAAATCCTAGATATTACATAAAAAAAATTAAAAGGGACAAAGTAACTATAGGAATATTGAAAAGTAAAAGATACTAAAAATAGTATTGCAGTTCTGACTGATAAAATATGAAAGAAAAAACTACAGGCAAAATAAAATTAACATTTCTGACTAGTAGTGACTACCACATAAAAAATAGCAAAAGTAAAAAACAAAATAGGATTTTCATTGAGGTTATGTAACATACATTATTTATACTTCTTCTGCTTTAATTTAACACACATTATATTCTTATTCAAAGTTTCTTGGCCTTGTATCATGGCCTTAACGAAAATCAGCGGTTAAACAATTGACATTTAAATGAAAAAAAACAAGGAAAGTTTCCAAGGAATGTTTCCGGTAGCTTTAAAGAAACTTTCAAAATGAAAATAAATTCCCAATTGGAAACTTTCCAAAACGGAAAGTTTCCTTAAAATGGAAACTTTCCGATTCCCATCTCAGGGCTCCCACACCTCCTAAAATTCATAAAATTTCTAAAATTTGGCTTAAATCTTAAAAACTCCTAAAATTCTCCTAAAATTGCCATCAATCTCCTAAAACTCCTAAAAATTAAATATAAGTAGGCCAACTTGACTCGGTTTAATTAAGGTAGTTGTGCTAAAAAATTTCTTTTTTAAAAAGTAATTTAAAAAATATATATTTTTGGTAAACATTCAATTTTCTTAGTTTCTTAAAGAAACTTTCTTGACCCATCACTGGTAATATTCATAAGAAAAAATTGATTGCGGCAAAGGCCACGTCGTTTGACGGTGTGGATCACCTGATGTTCTTACATCTCGCCTCTGTTGACTTAACAACCGAGCATATAAGCTCAGGGAGTAATTTGTTTTGATTGTGTTCCACTACACCAAGTTGCCCGACATTGATGAGACCCAATAAAGGTCGAAACAGCTGTCTGTCGGTATTTGAAGTTGGTGGAACGCATTCAAAACAAAAAACTTTGGCTAGGTGTAGGTTCAATTTTTTCTTATATATTTTTGGGTTCTAGTTTATTAAATTCTTTTTAAAATGATATAAGTATCACAACCTACATTTTTCTTAAAAAACAACAAAATATACCATAAAACAAAATCCACGTAGTAGCTTCTAGACTTCTACAAAATTGTCATTTTTAGCCATATTTCGTAAATTTTCAACAAAAATATACCGTGTTATACGAGCCCTAACCACAAAATGTTCGGACACTTCATAATTTATACAGAAATATTTTTCGTGAATACTATCTCAAAATTATTAGAAGTTATGAAAAATTCAGCTTATTTTGGCATATACCCCTCGAAGCGATTTTTATTTTTAAAAAGTTTACCTTTTATTTTTAGCTTTTAAAAAAAGGGTAACTTTTTAACTTTTTTTTGTATGAGTAAAAAAAGTTATAAATGGGCCCATTAAAAAGAACATAAAATATTATACAAACCCTGAAAATTTGGTAAAAATTGTATAAATAATAAGAAAGTTATAACGATATATATATCTGCAAAATCTCCCGTTTCCTAAGAAAATTGCAAAAACTCTTTAAAAATAGCATTTTTAAATTACTTATACTTTTTTATAACTTATTTATTTTTTACCAAATTTTCAGGGTTTGTATAATATTTTATGCTCTTTTTAATGGGCCCATTTATAACTTTCTTTACTCATACAAAAAAAAGTTTAAAAGTTAGCCTTTTTTTAAAAGCTAAAAATAAAAGGTAAACTTTTTAAAAATAAAAATCGCTTCGAGGGGTATATGCTAAAATGAGCTGAATTTTTCATAACCTCTAATAATTTTGAGATAGTATTCACGAAAAATATTTCTGTATAAATTATAAAGTGTCCGAACATTTTGTGGTTAGGGCTCGTATATCAAACAAAAGGATTTTTAATTTTCTTTTAAATGATAGCTAAAATAGTAAACAATCTAAAGAATGTTTTGCTGTAATAATGCACTTTATATTTTTTCTATTATGAGATTTTTTAGTAACAATAACATTACGATTATTGTTAGTTATTAACTAAACTGTTAATTTTTTTTCTTCAAAATATAAATATAACATCATTAAACTTTGGCCTACTTTTTTAGCCATATCTATCGACGCTTTTTTTTTAATAAAATTAAAAGTGGGGTGAAATTTTTACTTCCAGACATATACAAAAGTAGTAATTTTACCTCACTTTTCATTTTATTATAAAAAAAACTCGTCGAGCGATTTGGCTAAAAAAACTAGTTATTATATTTTTGTTAAAAATAATTTTTTTCTTATTTTTTAAGTATAGTGTAAAGTTGTTTTTATTTAATTAAATAAATTCATTTGCATACTTTTTTCTCCTAAAATTCTCCAAAAAACCTCCTAAATTCCTAAATAAAATTTGTAATTTAACCGTGGGAGCCCTGCCATCTCTACAAATTAATACATAAATATACTTTACACAATATTCTCTGTGCTTTACATACCTGAGTTGTTACGGTAAATAAAAATCAGACAAAGGAACCAAAGAAAGGAACTGTTTTCAACAAAATCATATGCAGAAATAAGAATATTCAAAATACTTGCATCCATCAAAAGATCAAAACTTCTTGCAATATTGAATTACACCCTCTTTTTATGCTCTCAGAAATATTGACTAGAACAGTATTAGATAGACTCCAGTTTCAATAACTTGGTGGAGTAAAGAGAAGTCGAAACCGTTGCGATATTGCATTGCGCTGTTTTTTTATAATTTTCGACATTATCGAAAATCATTGCCAGTAAAATTCGAGAAGCTTTAGTTTCTATGTCTTTTAAGAGACAGGGTCGAGTTTCTACCTCTGTTGAATATAGAAAATCAAAATAATGTATATTGTAAGACACCATTGAGTTTGACTTTAACTATAGTCGTGCATATGTATAGAGGCGAAAAATATAAAAACAAAGCACGAATTAATACAGTTTTGATAAAACTTTAAGATTTAGTATTCAAACGGGAAGTCATCCTATACACTTCTATATTTTTCCGTTTGCTGTGTACCCAAATAGCTTCCTAAAATAATAGGGCGCTGGTGTTTTGTTAATTGTTTGATTTGTACAAAATCGGAACGAAATATTCTATTCCTTATAAGTTATAACCCATAACTTTAAAGACAAATTAAATTTATTTTCTTCCAATTGTAACTCATTCTAAAACCTTGTAACTTTCCTCAGATAGTATCTACGATAAAAACAACAAGCTGAAACTGAAAACGAAGACCAAAGACCCGGAAATTCTGAGCTGCGATTCCGACTGTAAGCTGTCGGGGATCTCCATAGATAACATGATGGTGTTCAGGAAGAAGCAGAACAAGGGCAACATCGACGTTTGGTGGCTCTATGACGATGGAGGACTGACGATGTTGCTTCCGTATATTATATCGACAAGGCAGGACTGGTCCAGTTGCAAATTGAGGGTGTTTGCTCTGGCGAACAACAAGAACGAACTTGCCACCGAGGAAAAAAAGTAATTATTTTCATTAAATTTTTTTTAACAATTGTTAATGGCCACTTGCACCGTTTTCTCTAACTGATCAGTTAAATAAACTGACAAGTTAAAAGGTAACAGGAGATTAGTGTTCAAAATCTTGCACCGTGATTTTTTTTCTATGGTATAAATTTAACTAGTGATCTAGGGAATTTGACTAAAAAATAGAAGAGATTGGTGCTAATAACTAACTTCACACTTATTTGTGACGCAAATATATTTTGACGTTCGATTCTTTATAATCTGTGGTTCAATTCTTTATCATCTGTAGTTCGATTCTATTTCATGTACGACCGATTCAGTTGATGGTAAGAGAGAATAATATGGATACAGAACCTGAAAAAATGGGGGCGCTCCTCAAATTTTTTAGAAAATGAAAAAAATCATTTAATTAATCTTGTGGATACAAGGGTATCATTGAAAACAAAGAGACAGATAGGGCTAAAACAATTAGAACAGGATATTAACAATAAAAAGGATGAAATAGAAATGACTCTTTCGGATTTAAAAATTTTAGAAGAAAAAGAAAAACTTAATATACCTATGTATTATAATAATAAACAAGAAATGACTATTTATTTTATTCAAACTGGCTCTTTATACGTCCGACGTATACAAAATTTGGTATATGTCTTGTGCTTTCATTGGCTAGTTTGAAAAAGTTAATCTAACCTATAAACTTCAAAATGAAAATTGTCAGATATTCAAACTGCTGAATTTTATAATAATAACGTTAAAAATATATAAAAATGAAGTAATTTACAAAAATTATGTAAGCAAAATTAAGTATTTGATAAATAAGTATAAAAATGGCTAAATATGAGGCAAAAACTTCTTCCTACAAAATAGGCCTATATTCCTCTATGGGGCGGGGGGGCCAATGGGGCGGGGTCGGTTGGGTTGGGTTGTTGAGTTTGGGTTGGTTTGGGTTGGTTTCGCTCACTTTTGCCCATTTAAGTTGATTCACAGTGAGCGAAACCAACCCAAACTCAACAATGAAAGCTCAAGACGTATACCAAATTTTGTATACGTCGGACGTATAAATAGCCACTTCGTATTTTATTTTAATTTTAAATAAGTATAAATTAAATAAAACATCAAACAAATTTTTTACATTAAATTTTATAAATTCGAAAAATAATCTGGTATTAATTGATTTTGAAACATAATGCGATCTTGTGGATGAGTAACAACAGGGTACTCCAGTTCATGGCATTAATATCATCAGGCAATGGCGGTTCTGGTTTATTCATGTCTCTAGCAATATTATGTAGTACAGCTGCAGCTGGAATAATGGACAAAACTGTATCTAGTTTTAATATTAAGCCAAATGCCAACACTAGAAACCTTCTTTTCCAAATTCCAAATACTCTTTCTATTATATTTCTGGTTCTTAGTATATATAGTGACTAATTATAGAGTTGCTGATCAGCTGACCTCTATACCTATAACTATAGTTATTGGATTTGCTAAAGATGTCAATAAATAATATCTTTGGAAAAAAAAAATCTTGAATGCCGATGACTAGTACTTTTGAGGTTATAAATCGTTAACGGTGGATTAAAGTAATTTAAACCACCGAAATTGGGGGTTTATTTTAACAGAAGTTTGGAGGTATTTAAAGAAGGATTATTTTACGGTGCAAGCCAGTTATGAAAAATAAACCTGTGTTAAAAATTAAACCACTGTTAAACTTACGGTGCAAGTGACCATTGGATTGTTAAAAAATCAAACAAAAATATGAAATAACAAAGTTACAGAGGTTTGCATAAAAACACAAGAAGATCAATAATTCAAAAACTAAAGCTTAAATGAAAAATATTTAAAAAAGTATTAGTCTCAATGAGAACTACAACTATTACGTTGTCCATTTTGAGTAGAATATATAAAATGCAACTATCAAAAATCACAATAAAAAATAAGTTTTTTAAATTCTTTGTGATTTGAGATTAAATGATTTTTCTGTAATTTTTATAGTTTTGATTATTTTTATTTTATTTCATTGTATTTTAGTTTTCATCAATTTGCAGGATTTCAAAAAACGAAAATCTACATAAAATGTAAATAATTATAACAATAATAATTAATTTAGGGTTAAGTAGACAGTTATCGGACACTTTATACAATTATAAAAATCTCAGTCGGTAATAATATAGGGGCCAATATAGGACAAAAAAGTTCGCACGTTACTTTGGTGGTATGATTTTTTTTGTTAAGAGCAGGGCAATAAAAAATATTTCTAAAAAGTGTGTCGTATAAATGTGTTCCTCATGGTTAAAACATTGTCACTAATGCGTTTTAATTTTAATTCAGAAAACAAACAGTAAAATGGCCAGTATACTGGTTGGTAAAAAATGTAAATTTCTATTATTGGACATCCAATATCATACTCTATTTTTATCTCGGACATTTACCAGCCAATTCTTATGTAAAATTGTCCCCTGAATCCGAAAAGACCGTCAAAAACTATAAAAGTTAAGCTGTTTTTGAAATATAGTCAATTCCATATTATATGTAAAATTGATTTTATTTCAAAAACTGTTACACTTTTATAACTTTTGACGATATTTTCGGATTCAGCGAATAATATTTTATATGAATTGACTGCTAAATGTCCTGGATGCAAATTGCTGTAGACGAGAATCATAGAAGTCAGACCAAGGAATTAGTAGTTACCTTCAGAATCCAGAAAAGGGATGAGAAATCCGAGAAAGAAATATATGAATTAAATGATATTTACAAAAACTAAATAAAAAAAATTACCTAAAACTGCAATTTATCTTTACAAAATATTTAACAATTTATGTTATTTGATGTAAAGTTGTTTTGTATATATAAAAATTGTATGTCCAATAACTATGGTCCATGTGTCCAATTTTATTAAAACACTTTTTTTATTTTTAAGTATGGCACATTTATTGTCAAAATTCCGATTGAACTACTCCAGCCTAAAAATGGTATCTCTATCAGACAAACCACAGGACAAGACGATATACTGGTTTGACAACTTACTAAAAGACTTCAAAAACAATGATGAAACCAAAGAAAACGGTAAAAACTCTCAAATCACACACAATTTTTTTCTTATGACTACCAAGAACTATTTCAGATTGCAAAGTATCAGACAGGGAACTAAACCACCTGCAAGAAAAAACTCATCGGCAACTAAGACTCAGAGAGTTGCTGTTGGAGCATTCCAACGAGGCAAACTTGATTGTCATGTCGTTGCCGATGCCCAGAAAAGAGACCGTATCGGCCCCCCTCTACATGGCCTGGTTGGAGGCCCTCACACGTGATCTTCCCCCTTATCTTCTAGTAAGGGGCAACCAACAGTCTGTTTTAACTTTTTACTCTTGATTTTATTTATAAGATGTTTTATTGTAAACCTTAACAATACCAAATGTAGTTATGTTAGATGTAGTATTTATATTTTAAAATAAAATTTATTTTATAAAAAATAATTCACAAAATATAAGTATTTTTATTGTAAAACTGTTTTTATAGACCACAGAAACCAATAATAGCTAAAGTTTGACAACGTTAAAAATTTGGGGGTTTAGTTAGGGATCGTAAATTTATAATTGGCTACATTGAGTAAAACAAAATTATTTAGTGGATTTATGCAGCACTAGACTGGGCCAAAAAAATCAACTATTTTTTTTGAAAATATAGTTTGGAGTGACAAAAAAAATTATTGTGAAAGTTTGAGTCCATAATATTAATATTAAGAGGTCTATAATGGCAATTTAAAAATTTTTTTCCTCAACAAGTTTTTGTCTTAGAACTCTCAAACCATTGAGTTTAACAAAATTGACTCAAAAATATTTTTTTAAGAAAATTAAATGCTCTACAAAAAAGATGAACCGTTTCCTTAAAATCATGCCTTAAAAATTGGTATAGTTTTCAGTACCCATAAAAAAACGATAAATAATAAATTAACCTTGAATAACTTTTGATGGAGTGAATTTAGCCAAAAATTTTTTTGTAGAGCATTTGATTTCCCATAAGAATATATATCGGTTTTTTTCCGGGTAATGATTTTTACATGAATTACAAAATTCCAAAGTTAAAAGATCAAATTGTAAAACTATACCACTTTTTAAAGCATGATTGTAAGAAAAAGGTTCATCTGACGGGAAATTACAATCAAACCTTTTTTGTAGAGCATTTTCTTCAAAAAATATTCTTAAGTCAATTTTGTTAAACTCAATGGTTTGGGAGTTCTGAGACAAAAACTCGCTCAGGAAAAAAAAATCTAAAATTGCGATGATAGACCTCTTAATATTAATATTATGGACTTTCACCATATTTTTTTTTGTCACACCAAACAATATTTTAGTTACTTAAAATAGTCGATTTTTTTGGCCCAGCACACATTAATTTTCATCAAAATGCACTGTACCCTTTTGCTTCTTACCCCTTCAATTATAACATTTCTTCTCCTTCTTCTCCTTTTTTGGCCCTTCCCTTCCGGGATCATAAAACTTTTTTTCTATAACTGTGGAGGGCGCTTTTTTTATCACTTTCACTTTTTTATACTTTTTTTCTGTTTTCGTCTAATTCATAAATATTGTTACAATTCACTTAAAATTCATACGTACACTTCTTCATTTTGTCTCCCATTCAAATACAGATAATAAATAATATAATAAATGTTCGGTGACTCCATTTTAGTTCCAACCATGCACTGTTATTTCTTTAAATATTTCACCCATCCGTCGAGGAAATCCTTCGTAAATTACTTAATCTATTGTAGATTTTGTATATTTGACAAAAACCAGCGTTATTTGTGCTGGGATTCCCATTTTGTCCCTCCAAGAACAAAACCCGAATGAATTGTAACATTTAAATGTAAAATTAAGACATCGAACAGGAATACCAATTTTAAATATTAAAAAGTATATTTATATTTAGTACCAACATAATCAAATGTGTCAAATTCCAAACAAAAAAATAACTTAGGGAGAAAAAATTTTTTTACGAAATTTTTTGGGTACCCCATTTTGCCCCCCCGCTGCCTTGTTTTGACCCCTTTCACCTGCCGTCTGCTAATTGTACCATAAAATTAAGAAAAACAGAAAATTTGATGTTAATCAAACTTTGACCTCGAATAACTCTAGAAGACATCAATTTATCGAAAAATAATAAAGAGATCTTTTTTGTAGAGCGTTACATTTTATATAAGAAACTGCAATGATCATTGCCATAAGTTACTTTGATACAGATGTATAAAATTCCAAACATAAAATTATTTATTCCCATGTTAATTAAATGGGAAACTAAAATAAAAACAGCGACCTCTTAGAGTTGAGCTGGAACGTCCATATTTGGTGAGGATTTTTTTTATATTAAATAGAAACATTTGAGAGGGTAAGAGCGAAAAAAAATAATATTTTTTTTTGAAGCACCCTAATACACACACTAGTTGCCACACTACAGACTATTTGCAATTTATAAGCAATCATTGCGAGCTTTGCTGTTTGCAAGTTTCAAGAGCGCGACCCGGCCAGATGCGACTAACTTAGTCGAGTACTCGAACGTGACTGGATAAAAAAAAATAATTTATGGGTTTAGTCTTTGTCGTTTGTTATTGATAGATTTAATGTCCAAGTCCTCATTTAGGGTTCTTAAAGGTACCTGTATAATATTGATTTTAGGACATGCAGATGTTTAAGGTTACTTATCGTGAATATCGAGAATTGGCCTTTTCTCCCTTGGTTATCCTCTTTTGTTTGTCTCGTGAAAAAAAAACATATATTGTTATAAAAATGTTTATTATAGAATATAGAGGATTATAATATTAACAGTTACTATAATACACTTACAATACAAATATGAACATGTCAGTACAACCCACAATACAAAAAGCATTATTTTTAATGCACGATTGTTATGACAATTCACTGAAAAACGAGAAATAAACGTTAAAAAGCCACCTTGATAATTAACAACAATAAAGATCCATAATTTTTTTTATAAAGTGGATTTTTGACGGTTTACCTTCAGTACGGAATACTTTCCAAAAATCACAATGTTACGGAATGTTAACCAAGCAGCAAGTAATGGAACGTAAAATATCACATGTATGAATACTTCTCGAAGACACTTAAAAATTATAATACCAATGTGTGGTGAGACATAACATAAGTAGTCATTGAGCAAATTAAAGCAAAAGCTAACTAAACAAAAAACTAATCAAAATTGCGCGTAAAAATTTTAAACAAAAAAAAACATTACATTCCTATTGGATTAAAAATTAGTATCACAATATGATGGAATTTTTACAGAACATATACAAATGTACATGGTGGAAAAACCTACACATTCAAAAATTTGGACCATTTTTATAGATATAAATTCTTATACAGAGTAATTAAAAATATCACGACGTAATGCGATGTTGTTTATGCCACTAGATGGCGAATGATATAGAATAGGAGATTTTTTATTCCCAAAAACATGAAATATAATTGAAATTTTGATTCAATGAATTAGTTTTACATTTCAAAATTTAACATAATTCAAAAAAATCATTGGATATGATATTTTGAATCACCCTGTATAGTTTGATTTTTTACCATTGTGCACTACAAACTAGCTGCTACTATTACTAGCTAATATTAATTCATGGACATTATTAAAACTATGTATGTAGGTATACTAGACTGATAAAAAAATCGACTATATTTTTCTTCAAAAAGTATATCGAAAATGTTGTTTAGAATATTAAAAAAATGATCCTGTTACAACTTAAGCTCTTAATATAATTTTAGGTAAACTAGACTTCGATTTTTTGGAACTAATGTGTAAGTGCAAATAACTTAAGTTCCTTTAGGAATTTTAAAAACTTTGTTACAGGTAATTTAAGGAAAAAGATACGCTCTAAAAACAAATTCAGTAAGTATAATGGTTTCACCGGAAATTTACAATAAATTTAACTTTGGCCTTGATTAACTTTTGAAAGTCATTTTAACCTAAAATAATAAGAGGCCTTTTTAGTAGAACGTTAAATTTCCTACAAAAAAATTCCCGTATTACTGAACAATATTTTCGACTTTTTGATGAAAAAATAGTCTGTTTTTTTAAATCAGTTTAATGTAGGTATAGTATACCCTTCATACATACATATATCCCGTTAATAGATTTCTGGGATCAAAATATGACGATTAAACCCAACACCGTTACAACATTCTATTTAAATTTTTACAATAACGTTAAATCTACAGAGTCTAACATAATGGTGGGAAAAAAGTGTAACATAAAGGTTACATAAAATCCAAGAGTCTTCTATTAAGTTACTCGTAGTTTTTGTTTAACAACTTTTAAATACTCAACGATAAGAAAAAAAACCTTAGAAATGGCTTTATTTGGTAATTTTCTAGTAGATGTAAAAAAATTAACTGTGTAAGCTACTTATTAACTTTTCTTTAAAACAAAAAACAAATTTTAAAATTAACAAAAAATATTTCCAGATGCGAGACCTATTTAAAAAATGGTACGCCACTGGAAAAAATGTTTTTTCTTAATTGTTAAATTTTCTTATTTTTTATTAAAAACAAAATGTGTATTTTTTTAGTTTCCATGCAATGATTCAGTCTTAAAAAAATTAGCATTAAAAATACCAAACCTTTATGTTACACCCTGTATGTATATGATTTATATGAAAATATAACTTAAAATTAGGATAGGTACCCCCTTTGTAAGGACGAGAAATAACAATATTTTAATTAGTTTTATAGAGTGCGGTGATAACACAATTTTTGGTCAAAACGGGCATAGATTAACAAGCTAAAAAGCAAGAATGTTGTGTTATCAGTGCCCTCTAAAACTAACCAAAAATAGTCATCATATTATTTCCTGTTTTAACAAGGGTTTAGTTGAGTTTAGGCACATATATTTTGTTTTATTTTGTGTTATTGCAAAAAATCAGTTATTAATTATCAGATTAAACACATATTCTTAAGGATAAACATTTTATGTACTTAATGTATGTACTTAATTATTAAATCGTCATATTTGAAGCTCAGAAATTTACCCTTTTTGTCTGTCCAGGGATATTCTAATATTAATTGCGCAAAATATTTAATTATAGAAAATCCCTTCAACTGTATTGTCTTAAAAATTAAATGATATTCTTAATTAAAAAAAACAAATTCTCAATATCCAAAAAAGACAATACCTATCATATTTACTCTACAATTATTTATTGTACATTTAAGCAGCACTTATTTGTATGGTTTCTCACCACACATATTATTTATTTGTTCGAAAAACTTAAAAACAAATTCTCAAAAAAATCCAGCTGATTCTACTGGATAAAAAACACGCCATTGGCACATATTCCCAAAAATCAACACCACAAATTCTGTTACACAAAACAAACTTTGAAGTTTCAAAGCACCAAAAATTAGAAATTGCCAGTCCAAAGTTTCACTCTTTTAATCTTTTTTGTAAACAGTAAAATCGAAATGAAAAATGAAAAATAATATAACATATAACAATAGGGAGTGAAACTCAAAACTATTTATTTAATACATTAATAAGTCAGCATTAGTCAAGAAATTATTCATTTAAATCCTTAAAGCTAACGGTTTTTACCATGACTTTTTTGAGTTTACGCATGGTCTAAACGTTGGAAGTGGTTGAGGGGCGCTCCCACGCAGTGTTTCTGTACTACACCGCGGTGGGAGCACGCAATTGTCAGTGCCATTTCGCTTTTTGCGCGAATATGTCTGCGCGCAAGTTCTGCGCAAAGCAGATGCCCAGTATCTAGATAAAACAAAAAGATACAATATACTATTATCCTAATTATTATTATATCTAAATAAAACAAAAAGAAACAATATACTATTATCATAATTATTCGTTAACATGCATTAAAAGTTAAAACTTACCTTAAGAAACTATAGAACATTACAGAAACTATTGAAAATATAAATTAAAAAACAAATATTTGGAAGTTTTTTCATTGTAAGTACTCTTCTGAAAATACTATTTATATCTTTTGGCCCAGAAAATATTTTATTTTTTACATTATTTCAGACAATATTGGTACAGACAAAAGAAAAATCCAACTATTATAATAAATTATTAATAATAATTGGATTCAATATTGGAATGTAATACACGGTGGTCAAAACTTAAGTATAGGACGAACAAAAATGCCAACCAAAACTGATAGCATATTTTGATTATACACCCTTTTGGTAACACTAACATGTATTTATCAAAATCCCAGCTGATCCTATTTTGAAGTTTTTCAAACTTTTTTGTTTTTCTATTTCTATACATTATTTTGCAATTATTGTACTAAAACTACCTGTACAATTTTAATAAAATTAAGCAAAATAATAAACTTTGTATCATTTAAATTACTTTACTCCTCAGTGTTAATTTATTAAGTCACCTATTATTTTTTACCACTCAAAACAAAACATAACAAAAAAACGAAGATTTATATCTTAAATATTTTTTATAACAAAAAATACTGGAAGTTTGTCTATGAAATAATTACAACTTGCAAATTTTGTAAAACAATAATTAAGGTGGTTATGAAAAAAATTGCTATACGTTATAACGCAAGTGACATTTTGCTTTAGTTGTTTATTTAATGTATACTTTATAAAGTTAAAAATAGTATTTTAAAATGAAAATTAAACCGAAATTCAAGTTAAACCATGAAGAAAATCGAAAGAAGGTATGTGCTGGCTGTGGAGACAAAATTGTTTTTGGTAATCGAAAAATTCAGAGTTTAGGGTTCCTGAGAAAATATAAAAATTCCTGCAGACTTTTTCAAACGAACATTTTAACTTAAGTGATTTAAAATTACCTACTTCAATATGGTAAAAACGGTATTTTTGCATAGCCACAATTGCCAAATTTTCAAAATTTAGAAATTTCGCGGCAGCCAAGAATGTATGTGCTTTATCTGCAAAATGGCAAGATATAAAGGGCATAAAAAATTATTAAGGGAAGAGGACGGACGAACGAACTAAAGTTTTGATATGCTCTTCCTTCCTAGGGGATATCGCTAGATGTAAGAAGCATGTTTGTACAGAGACTGAAGAATTTAAAAATACTGTTTCGATGTTAAAAACAATTCCATGTAAAACCCAAGAAAAAGTTTTACTGAAAATTTAAGGCAAGCAGCAATCGATTTTGCTTCAAATAATCTTTAGTTATTTATTAGTTTTGTATTAGGTACCTTAAAACAATAAATAAGATATTGCAAACTGTATTTTACATTATTTTGTATTTATAATGTAATTTATCCACATTTCAGTCATGTATCTGCCAAATTTTTAAAAATATTTGATAATGGTACTAGAGTATTTTATCGAAATGGCATAAACAATTTTAAAATACTAAGAAATATGCAAAACTTTAATAAAGGATCAGCTGGGATCTTGATAAATACATTTTTGTGTTAAAAATAGTCAGGTTCCAGCGCTTGAGAAGACACGACGCGTGTGGGAAAGCTCTTAAAACGTAAAAGTTTAAAGATTAAAACCAACAATAATTTAAAAAAAAGTGCAAACTAATAAGTGAAACAAACATTTTCATAGAGTGCAAACTAAAATGGTGTAACGGTCATTGAGGAGTGAAGTCTTAAGTGATATGAATGAGTTAAGTGCCACCTGTCATTGGACGCTTTTCACTGGACAAGCAGGGGAGGTCAAACAAGAGGGGAGGTGGCCATCCGCAAAAAAAAATGATAAGTTACCTTAAGAATATGCATGACCTAATACAAAATCTGCAATTTAAATACGGCAGATATCTTTAAAACCTATGAAAGGCACACGGCATAGGGCAATAAATCTGTCAACAACAAATGCGAAAGGCAATCCCAAACGAAACCGAAAATAAACACTAGACTCACAGAATAAACTAACACATTAATCATTATAAACCTAACACAGTAAAAAAAACAGCCTAATAGCCAAACTCTATTAGATTTATAAATGCAATGCTTAATTTTGGAATTTAAGAAAAAAAAACAAAACTCTACCACAAAACGTGCTTGGGACAAAATTTATTAAAAACAACTGATACACTTTACCAAGTGCAGGAACTATCTGACCAGGACAGGGACAATGACAATAACGAACAAGACAAAGACCTCGACTAGGAAACTACACCCCTGCAGCGAAATAACAACTCCCCAACTCCAAATAGTAATCCCAAATGTTTGGAGTAATACTAATCGACTGGTCTAGGGGGATTCCGCGTCGTACTTAGTTTTAAGTCGGCGTAATTGTTCCCCAAAAACCAACACCCTCCCGTCCCTCCTCCTATACCCCACTGAGCGTATAGCATAGGCTCGGCAAACCCGAGAATATTAAAACTATTCGCCTCTCGCTCTCGAGCCCCAAATAGGGGACAGTACGGAACGCAATGGACATTCGCACCAAGCAAACACGGGTGAAGCCGTGCAATTGCTGGAGAAGAACAAAAATCGGCGTAAGTAAACATAGGCCTGTACGGGGTTCGAGAGTCAAGAGGAAATGGGGCTGGTTATATGTCTCTTATACTCATACTCATACATTTTTGTGTTACCAATAGAGATAATCAGATTATGCTAGCTATCAGTTTCGGTTGGCATTTTTGTTCGTCCTATATTTAAGTTTTGACCACCGTTTATTACATTCCAATATTCAATCCAACTATTATTAATAATTTATTATAATAGTTGGATTTAATAGATTTTTCTTTTGTGTGTACCAATATTGTCTGAAATAATGTAAAAAATAAAATATTTTCTAGGCCAAAAGATATAAATAGTATTTTCAGAAGAGTAGGTACTTACAATGAAAATACTTCCAAATATTTGTTTTTTAATTTATATTTTCAATAGTATTATTTATAGTTAATAAAATAGGCAAAACTAATATTTGGGTTAAGCTTTTTATGAAATATAAATATAAAAAATTGCAAAATTCGATATTTTTAATAAGAATACAATGAATTTTTTTGTAAATTTGTAAAACTTAAAATAATATATTGATAGAATTTATTTTTAACATAAAAGTTTTAAATTATATATTTTTGTATACTTAAAGTGGCCCCCTTAAAATGTAAGCACGTCATTTTCAGGGCACAATGTGTTCTTTTTTTATAATTCAAATAATATTTGTACAATCGAGTTTTAATTAAAATATTTATTTTTAAAATATTAATTTGAACTAAAATTAACCGTTAAAATACAATTTATTAACAAACTTTAACAATTTAAAATTCTAGACATACAGAGTTGATATATATCTAAAAATTGAATTAAAATGTTTTGCACACTGCCCTTATTAGATTAGTTGGTAACTTTCCTATTACACTAGTTTACAGCCATTTTGCCCACCATGTCTCACTATTATTTTCTTGTGTAGTTTGGCTCACTTAACGCGAAAATCACACTTAAAATTTTTTTCATGGAAGCGTTTTCGAGATATGAATTTTCAATTGTTTTATTTTTATTTTTCTGAGGTGTTTTGACGTTTTATAGTATACTTCAAAGGTAATTGGGCCATCTACAACCTTCTCTTGTATATTTTGGTATCGGCTCAGTAGTTCGATACTGGCGATTTTATGAAGTTGAAAAAGTCCTTTTTTTACAAAAATCGAGGTCAAAAATTTACATATCTTTCTGGAAAAGATAGAAATCGAAAAGATAAGTCCAGTTTGATTTATTTTACGTATAGATTATACTTAAAGGAAAAAAAATAAGCTGCTGTTGATAAAAATCCATGGATAAATGACAAATTATGAATTTTTCAGTGAAAGACCAAAATTCAGTTTTTTCAAGAATTTTTACGTTTTTTTCATTTTATTGAGTTATATAAAGTTTAATATTAAACATTGATTTTTATTTTAAACATTAAATATTGAAATTAAATTATATATTGAATATTGAACAATAAATATTGAACATTGAAGATATTGAAAGTTTTATTTTGTTGTAATAAGCATAGGTTTAAAAAAAATCTGTCTCCTTTTTTGTTTTTTGTTGCTTTCGTATTCCGTTTCTCGTATGAGGGACCAAATGTAATCACCCACCATGGCTGCATCCCAGAAGCCGTGATACCGCCGCCCCATAGCCTTCATTTGCTGGTGAAAACGTTCTCCGTGCTCATCACTAACGTCGCCGAGATTGTCCGGGTTATTTACGCACTCCAACTCTCTACTTCTTTTACTTATTTTACACTTTATATTCACTAAATAAAACCATGATAAAAATACTCATTAAAATATCAAAAAATAGCAGTAAAATGCCACTATGCCAACACGAAAAACAAAAAAATTCACGTTTGCGGAGTCATGTCAAATTTAAATTTTATATAATGTGTTCGGTGAAAAAAGTACGTAAAAAACTTAAAAAATTCCAATCATGCACTTTAATTAGGTTTTCATTAAAAAATAAACATATTAGGAAATAAAATAAGAAAAATAAAATAAAAATCGTTAAAAAGGTAAATTTTGGTCTTCCACTAAAAAATTCATAACTTCGCCATTTTTTCATGTATTTTTATCAACATTAGCTTGTTTATTTTGTAAAAATATCAGTAGTTTGATTTAAACCTTTCCCAGGACGATATGTAAATTTTCGACCTCAATTTTTGCCATAAAAACGAATTTTTTGTTATTAAAATCGCTAGCGTCAAAATATTTATCCGATATCAAAAGTATGTAAAATAAAGTTTTATAGGGCTCAAATACCTTCAATTTAGATTTCAAACTATACTCAAAAACGTCAAAACACCTCCGAAAATTAAAAAAAAAACAATTGAAAATTCATATTTCAAAAACGCTTTCATAAAAACTTTTTTTTGTGATTTTCGTGTTTATTGGGTCAAAATTATGGAAAAATTATAATGGGATATGGTGGGCAGGATTTTTTTTCGATTTTGTAAACTAGTGTTATTAGTGGTTAAATAAACTAAAAAACTTACTTGGAAAAACAAAATAATAAAAGTGCAAGAAGCAATGGAAATCATATTTTTTTCAATCCAATCTTCGACAGCCTCTAAACAGCCACCTTCGTTAATTACTTTGGAAACGTCAAAATTCTGCAATAAACAACAACACACATAACATGGAAAGCACAGACAGATGCAAAGCAAAATAAATAAATTTAAAGCCGACATTAAAGGGGTTGCAAAAATTGTTTTTTTTTTGTTATCGAACCTGCAGGACCATAATTCCTACTTTAACTGCCGCAACAGTTACTAGATTGGTTTCAATCCATTCCTCCCCTGCCCTCAGGCAGCCCCTTTCAAATATATGACGTTCTCCTGGCTGCATTTAATTAATTTTTAAAATATAAAATATATATTAAAAAGTTAAAAAAAAATTATTATTAATAATTCCAATGTTTTAGAATTTTTAGAATTTGAGTTGTAAAATTTACAATGTAAAGCAAAAAGAGTTAAAAATACCCCTTTATAGTAAAGTTTACATATTTAATGTCTAAATAGTTCATCAAACTTGGTTAATCTATTATTTATTTTGAATAATAAACATTTTTTCAATTTAAAAATTAGGACTATTGTTTTTTGCGGTGCTATATATTTTAGGTAATAAATTTAGGATAGAAATAATAAAAAATCATTTTCCTGTGTTAGTTCAATGGGAAGTTAAACTCTATAAGGAATCTTTGGATATTTACTGAATTTTTATTTTAGCATTAAAGAATCTTTAATAAAGATGTAAAAAAACGGTTTTTTTTTTCAGATGTGAAAAAAAACATGAGAAAAAACTAGAAAAAAACGGTTTTTTTTTGTTTTTTTTTTCAAATCCGCCACAATAAAGCATATTCTGTTAATAAATAACATCAATCTTAAAAAATGAAATTTTGAGTAAAATGTACGAGGTGTGTTCAGAAAATATCGGGAATTTTCGTTTTATGAAACAAATATTTATTTATTCGTCTACATTAATGTTGTCGCCTTCAAAATAGTCCCCATTGGATATTATGCACATGTGCCAGCTCTTCTTCCAATACTCGAAACACTTCTAAAACTCGATCTTTGGGATAGCCTTTAGTTCTTTCAGCGATGCGCTTTTAATGTCATCTATGCTTGCAAAATTGTTTTTGGCCAAAAATGTTGATCAAACAATTTTAGAACAAATTTTGCTGCCACGCGTTTCATACCCAAAAGATTCGAAAAAATTTTATGGGATGATCCAATCGATATACCAACATCATCAGCGACTTCTCTGATGGTTTATAACCATTTCTTCCACTTTTTCCATGTTTTTATCGGTTGTTAATGTGCTAGTGCGTTCGGAGCGTTCGTCATCTTCAACGTCTTCAAGGCCATCTTGGAAACTCTTATACCACTTGTAAACTCTTGTTTTACTTATAGCAGACCTAAGACAAAGAGTAGTAGCAGACTCACTATACCCCTTTGTTAACATTTCACAGAATTTATTTCATTTTTTTAGCAAAATTGGATACAAATTCTTTGATCCATTTCCATTCAACGAACGAAAAATCGCCGAGCTCATAAAACACGTCTAGCGGCTGCCACAGACAAAGTAAACAATGAAAACAGCTAAAGTTTTTATCATACTTTGGGGGCATGTATACCAACAAAATAAAGAACATTTTATGACAACCGGACCCTCCGAACCCGCGAATTTTAACAATTCCCGTTATTTTCTGAACACACCTCGTACGTTAATAATAAAGTGAAATGTAGAATATATTACATTTTTCATTATTGAAAATTTTCCACATAAGAAACCAATAGCAATGTAAAACTTCTACAATAATAGAAAAAATTAAAGGATAAAAAAAATTCCAAATTTTTTGCGATTTTTCGGCTGTATGTATCAATTTGAAGCTTGAAGTTTCTAGTTTTGAGATTTTTAAATGAAAAACGCTCAATCCTAACGAATACCGTAATAAAAAATTCGAAATTTTTTGGCTTTCTTTTTTGTTCCATGGAATGTTCTGACTTAACCACCAATAAAGAATTTGCTATTGTTTTTTTTAATAAAAAAAATCCATACACTACATGAATTGGAAAAATCATCAAAAAAGTGCTTTTGGTTGCTTTTTAAAAAATCAAGCGCTGAATAAAAATATTATAGGTAGTTTTTTAGGACCAAATCAAAACAAGCGCGGCCCTTATTGGTCAATTCGGTAGCATTTACTAAATGTCATTTAGTGGCTAATTTTAGTCCATGAACTGGACTGGAAACATAAAAAATTAGGCAAATGGGACTAATCTTGAAAAAAAACCTAAAATATGAAAAAAAAACCATTTAAAAAAACCTGAAAAAAAAACAAAAAAAAACGGACCGTTTTTTTCAAGTCGCATCTCTATTTAGCATACCTAATAAAGAATAATAAAAATTATAAGAAATTTTCAATAACATCGCTTTTTTTAATCCCCCATAGAGACAATTGATTTTTTGTTTATTAATAATAATAATAATAAACTTTATTGGAAATCCAAAAGGCTAACGACTTTCGTCTTCCTGCCCTTTGTTTATTATACAGGGTGTTTCATACCAGGAGGCGAAAAATGAAATTCTATATTCAAAACGTCATTCTAAATAAAAATCTTTAATACTTTTTTGTTCTATCATTTTTCGTTTTCAAGTTATTCGAGTTTAAAGTTTTAAATTCAAACAATGAAAGGATAACAATATGCAATAATAGGATTCATAATTCTAGCAACTATAATATACATCCATGGAAACGTATAAGTATTTAAGTTTATAATACAGTTCATTTTTTTTTATCTGGACTGCGGCAACGTTGCAAACTTAGGGGTTTAGTTGGCAAATATTTCTATTATATTGGCAGCTATAAAACTAAATTAATATTTGTGGTTAAGAAATCAAAAAATATTTACCTTTTAATAGGTTTTTGACCAAAATAGTATTTCGTTATTGTCCTGTAGGATAATTATTTGTACAGAGACGTTTTTTGAATCACATAAATACATTGGAGTTTGATATTCCTCTGTTTAAATTTAATCATTTGACAAAAACTGTCAAATTATGTAAAACAGAGATACCAATCCTAAAATACTAATCAAACTGACATAAAAAACCAACTTAATAAAAAAACACTAGTCCAGATAAAAAAAATAACCTTATGTGGCCTTCTGCCTTATTTAAGTAATACAACCTGTCAGTTTATTGCTATTATGTCAGCAAGAATTATTGATTGACAATTGACCAATTTGTAGTTTATACTATTTATTTTTATCTGTAATAATACAGGACATTTTCAAAAACATGGCCTTCAGCATTAATACAAGCTTGGCACCGCAAAACAACAGAATTGTAAACTCGTCCAAAATCTTGTACATTTTGTATTTGCTCCGCCGCATCTATTATTCTTTGCATAAGCTACTCTTCGGTGGTAATTTCGACTGCATAGACAAGCTGTTTCATGTGTCCCCATAAATAAACATCAAGCGAATTTAAATCCGGTGACCTAGCAGGCCACAATATTGGGCCACGTCTACCAATCCACCTTCCATTGAAGTTGTTATTCAACCAATTCACTACATTTCTACCAATATGGGGTGGTGCCCCATCGTGTTGAAACCACATTCGATTTAGCAAACCCACAGGGACATCTTCCAGCATTTCATTAAGTTCATTTTGTAAAAACATTAAATAAGATTCGGCATTTAGTCTATTGGGAAGGACTATAATTGGCAGAATTCGCCCGTTGAAAATGCCACCCCAGACATTAATTGAAAATCTCTGTTGGAAATGTCTCACTCTCATAGCATGTGGATTTTCCAACGACCATACATGTTCATTATGGGTATTATTAATACCATCTCTGGTAAAAGTAGCTTCATCTGAGAATACAATAGAAGAAATAAAATTTGGATTTTGCTCATGTTGACGAAGCAGCCATTAACAATACAGAAGTCGTTGCTCGTGATCATTTGGCTGCAAATGTTGAACATTTTGCTTATGGTACGGGTGCAAACAAAGTTATGAGAAACTTCCAGCCTACTAGCAATACGTCTGGTACTAAGGCCGGGTTCGTTAAGTACAGCGTCAATTACTTGCTCTTCTTGACCAGCATTGTGTCTGAAGTTCGCACCTCCTGTATGCTTGCTTCCAATACCATTTCTTCGGAGTCTTTGATATGCGTCTGAAAATACTCGGCGGGATGGTTGTCGTTTATTTGGAAATCTACGCAGATATTCTCGGGAAGCTGCAGAAGCATTTCCATTTGCGTACCCGTAAATAAAAACAATGTCTGCATATTCTTCATTCGTAAATTCCATTTTGTTTATAAATTTACAATAAACTGACAGGTTGTATGACAAATAAGGCAGAAGACCACATATACGTTTCCATGGATGTATATTTTGGTTGCTATAGAATTATGAATCCTATTATTGCATATTGTTATCCTTTCATTGTTTGAATTCAAAACTTTGAACTCGAATAACTCGAAAACGAAAAATGATAGAACAAAAAAGTATTAAAGATTTTTATTTAGAATGACGTTTTGAATATAGAATTTCATTTTTCGCCTCCTGGTATGAAACACCCTGTATAGTAAACTGGTTAATTAAAATTTTAAGGCATATATTTTTATGACAAATCAATAGGTTTAAACTGCCAAAGCCTATATTTATAATTTTAAAGATGATTGTTTTAAATAAAAAACAAGACATTTCAGCGTCTTTTGCAAACACAAAAAATATAACAAAAACTTGTCCAATAGATTGGGCTCTCATTGGTGGTTTTAAAAAATAGAACAACTCCCACATTTTGGCGAATTAGAAAAAATGGTAAAGGAAATCGTTTTAGATTTTTGCAAGGAATCAACCCCCTTTGTTTGGTCCGGTGAATTTAGTGGTGGTTTTCTTTAATTTATAAAATAATATATATCTATATCTATATATATCTATAAAACATTAAATACTTACAAATCCAGGTTTTCTAACATCATATCCACATTGTTTGTTTTTAATGATCTCCTAAAAAACCCAAATTGAATAAAAAACCTTAATAAACATCTAAAAAAATTACATTTGCTTTCCTTCTACAGCAAGAAAATGGAACTCCACATGCCTCCCGGCTGCCGACATCTTTGGAAGAACAATTGAAATAATTGTTACGATCCCAGTCTTTTGGACCTTCAATTCCACAACATTGAAGCTTAAAAGACAATTATGCAATTAAATGTTTTTTTTTGATTGGTTAAGTAAATAGAATTTACCCAGTCTTCTTGAATCCAGTCAATTAAATTTTGCTGGTCAGGATCTTCCCTATAATGAATTATAAAAGTTTGGAAACCACTGGTTGCTTGTGATTTTATCTGTAAAACATAAACATAATTTTTTACCTTGACCCTGCATAAAATGCTTTAATAAATAACAGTAACCTTGTGTATCTATGAATCATACTTATTCCATGAAGGAGGAAAAAGTACAAAGAAAATCAATGAACCACACATTTCAAGGAAATAATTCATATTAACAGGAAAAACTCACCCAATCTCTGAATATAAATCCTAATATACCAGCAGTCATTTCAAATAATAGCAATATGGACAAAAATAGGGCATACTAAAATAAAATGTTTATTCACATTATTTAAAAGTTTAAAGAAAACTTACTGATGCTAATAAACAAGTATTTTCTCTCAGAGCACCAACACATCCTGTAAATCCTATTATAAAAGTAACAGTACCTAAAAAAAAGAGTTAAACTCAAACTTAAGCATAATTAAAAAAAACTCACCAACACAAATTAAAATAAATGCAGGATCAAGAGTAATATTCGTAACTTTCCCTAAATTATTTAAAATATCCTTTTCCGTCCAGGCCCAAATACCCACAGTCAAAATACACAAACCCAAAAGCTAGAACAAAATATTTTTATCGACAATCAAAAACCTAGAACAATCATATTACCCAAAACAAAACATTAAACCCAAATATCATGTATTTCAAGCAACCACTAACTTCAGTAGTTTCTCTTCTGTATTTTCTTACTGGCATTGTTGATGGTAAATTAGCAGTCATACCTTACTTCTCAAAAAACATAAATTTACACCACTTTGTTATAAACGCGTCATCGTCGATTTCAATCTAGTTCATGCACGAAGAACGTCAATAAATGAATTGTTTAAATCATCCTCAACCCTACGGATGTAAACACACTGTTCAAAATAAATTTGTTATCCAGTGATTCTGTTGACATAACAACCAAAGAAAAAGGATAACAACTGACGTTTGTGACAAGAAGATATTTGGTATCACTGTTGCCAACTGATTTTAACAATTTTCTTTCAAAAGTTTATGGCCATACAAATTACTGACAACTCCAAAAATAGATCTATTTTTTTAATATACGCTTTGATAGGTCCAAACTCAATAGGTCCAAAAAATATCCAAAACATCTAAATTGTGTGGCAACGTCGCAGATGCAGAACATAAGCGCAAGCCGCAATGCCGAACATAAGCGCAAGGAAAACGCAAGAGGGTTCTCGGTGCACAGTTACTGTAGACAGCTGTCGTAAAAACTATTATAATCTCGCGTTGCTCATTCAAACAAATTTGATTTAATTTAAGAACAATCCCTTTCATTTTATGAAACATGTAAAACCACACTTACAATTTGGAGGAATTGGTACAAACCTTAAGATTTTTTTATGAATTGGAATAAAAAACATAGAAATATTTATTTTGTATGTATAGTTTTGCTATTAGATGATAGGTGGCAATATAAATTTAAAAATTAATTACGTCATAAATTATGACAACTGCGCACGCAAGAAGTCACGAACGAAGAAAATATTTCTGTAAAAGAATGTATTGATGTTTACATTTGATTGTGATTGTGTTTAGTGATATAAAATTTAAGTGAAAATGTCCAAGAAAATACCGGACACTTTTCAGCCGAAAATCACGCGAAATGATCGTTTCGCTCAGATGTCTCAGCAAGAGAAAATTATAGAGCAAAAGAAGAAAGAGATTTTAGAGAAACTGGAGGCAAAACAAAAAGCTAACGCAGAAAACGCAAAGAATGCTAAGATTGCCAAAGATAACAAAAGGTTGATAATAAATTTAATATAAATCTTAAGTTATGTGTTGATTTTTGTAGTACAACTAAGAAGGAAGATACGAAAGCAGAGATAAATGTATTCTCCAATGACGGATCTTTTCTTGATCAGTTTAAACAAATGAAAGACAAACGATTGGATTCTAAATTAAAATCATTTAGGCAAAGGGAACACAGGTTAGTTCTTGTTTATAAGTTAAATAATGTAACTGTTGTGGGTTAGTTTTAGTGATGACCATAATAAAAACAGATATAAACCAAAAAAAAGATCACCATCACCAAAGGAAAGACCTAAACCTAGAATATCACGTTTTGATAAAACACCTAGTTATGAACCTAAAATTACTTTTAATACATCATTTAGTTCCACAATAACACAGCCACAGTATGAAATACAACCACCAATAGCAATATTGCCACAAAATGTAACGGGTCAACCTTTATTAAAAAATATTGTGGTGCAACCTACTGTGGCTTATCCAACAGTGAGTAATGAGTCAATTATCACCGCCCCACCTGTTTTGATAAATGTACCACCACCACAAATTGTACAGGGGCCTTTGGTAATGCCACCTAACCAACAACAAGCTGTTTTGGTTCAAAATCAAATGGTTAGTTTACCTCCAAATACGATTTTAAATACATTACCACCGCCAAGTACGATTTTGAATACACCACCACCCCCAAATATGGCTGTCAGCGCCCCCCCAGTGTTGCCAGTGCCACCACCTGCAACAATGTCTGTTTTAAGTACAGTGGAGTTAACATCCATACCACCACCTAGCCCTATACAGGTTCAAAGTATACCGCAGCCTGAACCTATGAACACCATGAATATCCCACACCCAGCACCCATGCAGGTTCAAAACATACCAACACCTGAACCTGTACAATTAAATGACATACCAAATCCAAGACCGATGGATGTACTAAGTATACCTACACCAGGAGAAGATAATGTTATGTCGGATTTCATCAAAAGTATACCACCACCGAATAAATCCATACCTCCACCAAGCCTACAAGACGTTCACCAAACTTCATTGAACTTATTACCCAGCAACATTCTGCCCTTGGTTTCCACAGTACAAAACCTCCCCACTCAAAGCATGCTGGTCAACGTACCCCCACCTCACCCCATACAAAACACCTTCACCTCGATTTCTGTCCCCCTACCGGTCACCGTGACAACCGTCGTCAACTCCATCCCCTCTCTCATGGCGCAACCGATTCTGCCCCCTCCCGGCATCAACGTGAACGTCTCGTGCCCGCCACCCATGATGACCATGCTGCAACAGCCGCCGCCCCCTATGTTTGTCACGCAACCACCGCCGCTGACCAATCAGATGCCGCCGATGAACGTGCCGCCGCCCAACGCCAACTTGATGTCCGGTTTTATGCCGGGATTGCGGGATATGAACGCAGGTAACTTGATTTTTTAGTTTTTATTTGTTTTCTAGGTTAAGAGCAGGTAGGGAGTGCGGTGTGAATGCAAAATTATAGCAAATATTGCTGTATTTTTGTTTAAAAATATTACATTGGTTTATTTTTAACGTTTCATCATTGAGTAAGATGTTATATCTTACTCAATGGTTTCATGCTACATATTCTTGTGTATTGCTAGATTTTTGTGTATTTCAATATTTTCTTTTCGTTTTTTAAATTTTGATATAATAATTACAGGCCACCTTTAGGTTTATGTTGGAGCAGCTATTTTATATTATATTGTTATATTGTGGATTTTTAGAATATTTTATGGGGTGGTTGATGAAATTTGGTTAACATATCTAAAGAATATAAACTTTTTTCAATCAGTTACAAAATTATAAAAAAACATTTTTTTTTATAAATTCTTCAAACTTTGAACTTGAATATCTTTTAAATGGTTAGAGTAATCGCTTAAACACATTTGTCCTTTTTTGTAGAGCATTCAATTTCCTACAAAATTATTTATAAAGATTTGATTAAACAATTGATTAATAATGAATTATGGTCTTTTTAATAAGGGACTAAACAAAAAATGGAAAACTGTCATGAGGAGGATCTTCCTATTAATATTAAGAGCTCAAATTTGTTAATAAAAAAAATATTCGATTTTTTTGAATTACCTACCCCTTAAATGGGGTTGATAAATGAACAAACAATAAAATTATCAAAACTGGTATTTTTAAGAAATACTACTACTCCAAATCCACCACTTTTTTGATTTTGAAAAATCGCTAATATGAATTCTTAAAAATTTTCTCTTAAAAACTGACATAGTAGGCCTTGTATTTTGTGCTAATATGGCATCTTTTGTTTCAAAAATATAGTTTATCAAGATCTACACTTTAAAACAAATACGGTTAAAATCGCACCATAATAAGTCGCAAACAAATGGGTCACACTGTATATTATTCTACCACACTATCCAAAAAAAAAGTTTTCAAATGATGGTTCTGATTTAAAATCCCCATAACATTTTAAAAATTGAATAAATTGGAATTTTTTGTTCTTTCTAAAAAAATACATAACAATTTTTTGATCTCAAATTCCATGAAATTATGAAAAAAAAATATTATTAAATAAATATTAAAAGAATATAAATTTTATAGAACTTGAAAATTGTTTTTGTATTTTTTTTTCTGAAAAGTACATTTAGTCAATTTTAAAAAGTTATGGGTCTTTAAAACACAATATTTTGGTAAAAAAATTTAATTACGAGAAACTCTTTTAATGGGGTAGAAAGATATTAAAAATTTCAGCCAAATCAAAAGGGGTCTGGTTTAAAAGTGGCCGATTTGGCGTGGTAAGTATGTATAAATACTTTGTTTTTAAATTTTGTAACAATAAAATATTATCTAACAGGCGGAGAAAGAGCTTATATTATAGACGAGCTCTGTGTTCGCTGCGAGTCTGAGAAAGGCAGTTAATATGTTTTCTCCGACAATTTTTTTAAAGCATTTGATAAATTTTTACTTACAATACTGAGAACAATGAAGTCTTTATATACATAAGGGCTTATAAGTGTTATAGTATGAAAATTGTTATACACTTGAAAAACATTCTTTTAACTCAAAATCTATATGGGTGATTCTACAAAAGTTGGGCAACTTTTGACCTCATTTTGTTTATATAGTTTTCAGAGAAAATTAAACAGTATTTTGTTATGAAAACATAGATAATATAATAAATATACTGTTCCAGACTTTTTCAAACAGTTTCTGAAATATCTGTTTTCTAAATTTTTCTAATTAAATACATAATTTATTGGAAAATATAAGATTTATTGCATCTTTGAGCATATTATACATTAAATATCTTAAAATCAAATAATACCACACATCAGTGGTGGCTGGTGGATTTTGGGTATACCGATATCTCAATTATTAGATATGGGACCCACACCAAATTTTTATGAGTTTATAATGACATTAAATAAACAAGTTCTGCGCAAGCAGATTTTAAATTGAAGTTTGCGAAAAAAAGATAACCGAAACTTCGAACATGGAACTGACGACACGGTACTGATGAATGGGATACAAATTTGAGATTATAACTCGAAATTAAGTATTTTACTGATATTTTTTATTATTATCAACAAATCACATAAAGCCTTATTTAAATTATAATGAAATATATATACGTAAGAAAATAACTACTCACCACAGTACTGAAATTTTGACTGGAACTATACGTGCATTCACCACAACTTCGCCGCTTGCATTGTTTTTAAGATGACTGTCGTGCAAATGGCGGGCTCTGTAGGTAATTTTTTACCAACAATTGAGTTAAAATGAGGACTTGACGTTTAAACTTCAATATTTCGCAGGAATTTTGAATTTTAACATTGGACACAGAACTGACGGGTAAAAGTGAGTACAAAGATTATGAATTTTTTAAAAATTGCTATTATTCAAATCTATGATAACATGAAAAATACATTATTTAATGTTTTATAGTTTGTAGTGAAATTTAAAAATTTAAGATAAATTGAATATATTTTTAAATAAAATCACTTAAATATTTGATTCAGGAGTTGTGACACACCAAGGTACTGATGTTTTGAATATTTATTATGTTTTTCTACAAACGTGCATTTGAAAAAATTCATTAAAAGTTTAAAAAACCTGGATCTTTTCTAATATACTAAAATATTTACAAAAAATATTAAAATACCTACTCTATTGACTGATGACATCAAGTTGTCCAACTTTTGTAGAATCACCCATATGTCAATTTGTTTATGCTTAAAATAACCTTCTTTATCCCGTGGTATAGTGTTACCGAGCACACCCAGTATAATGAAACCTTTTCTTAAAAAACATTGTAAACCAAAAATCATCAACCAATCCTTCTGTTTACTTTATTAGCAAGGATGGCTTTTTAATAAATGTATAGAAAAAATCTTTAAACACGAAACATTTTGTTTAAAACATAAACTAAATTATGTGCTTTGGTACAGAAAAGAGACCATAACTGCAGGTTTTGAATTAAATGAATTCTTATAATGTTAAAAGAATGTATTAAAGAACCCAAATTTAAAAAATGGGCATTGCATTGAAATCGTTTTCTGCTCTTGGCTTGCACTAAAGCACAAATATTTTCATTGAAACAAAATAAAACAAATAAAAAGTGATTTGCCATCCTTGCGGTCCTGTGCGGACATGGTTAGTGACGTTTGTGTGAAGTATTTCCTCCAGGTACCCCTGATTACGAGCAGATGGCGTCTTTGGGACGCATGGTGGCCGAGTGCGGAACCGGGATTGAGGACGTCGTAAGACAGCGCAAAACCCAAGATCCCAGTCTGTGGTATGAACGGGATAAAAATCTAAAAAAAAAATATCAATAATTTTAATAAGACCCTCTCACATTCACCATTTTTTTCGATTTGCAAAAAAATTGGCCCTTCCGTCTATCACTACATTGGATTAAGTTCCAAGATACAATCTAAATATCCCTCTTAATATGTTTTGATTGTAATACAATTTTTAGAACATGGGAGGTTTCTTTAACATTTTTAAAAAAAATTGTTGTAAAATATTAACTTTTTTAGAAAGATGAGTAAATAATTTATAGTTTTTCATTCAAATATAGTGAAAAATGCATAAAAATGACAAAAAACTTTTTATTGTTAAGTTAACTTATTTGTTTTAAGAAAATCGGAATACTGTTTTTTCAGATATTATTTTCAAGCAAGAAAACTCGCCATAATAATTGTAATATATTACCCTATCAATTCGTGATAATTTACTAAAACTAGATGGTAGATGGTACAAAAATATATATTTTTTTAAATTAAAAATTAAATTTTAATAGTTCATTTTTAGAAACATTTGAGTTACTTAAACTAAACAAATTATTTACCAAATGGGCCATTTCAGGCGCGCAAAACGCACGAATTACAAAACTATTTTTATAAAAAAAATTGTATTGGGTTTATTATATATGTATACTATCGGTAACAAAAAAAACTCATACAGCTTAAAAATCTAGTGTTCCTGATTTTCCATCATTTCGTTGGAGTAATTATGGCTTTTAACATGATACGTCACATTTGAAAGGTCTAAAATTAAATACAAAGTTAGGTTGAAGTTTGAAAAAAAAAATAATATTTCGTCATCCCTCTGTTTTGGTCAATTACTGCCCGCAAACGGCAAAGCATGGAAGTCGCCGTCTTGCTTTATCTCGTTTCAAATGGCTTCAATGCCCAGCTAACAAAATTGATTATGTAAGTGTTGTTAGAACTGCTATACAACACATATTATAGAAACGCTAAAATTGTATAATGCGTTTAAAAACTACTATACAACACTTACTCAACCAAAAAGGGCCCCGTTTTATAAAACAGTTTACTTCGTTAGCAGTTATATAAATACACTACACAACCCTTATAAAACTCAGTATCAGTATACTGGGGAACTGCTATACGATTATACTATAGCGGTTTTACTCTGCAGCTTAATTGCACTTTACGAATATTTATAGAATATTAAAACAAGCATTTTATAAGTATGTTATAATGCGACAGAATCGTTATAAGAACATCAATTTGTTTCCTTCTCTAGAAATTAGGAATGGAGTGGGAAATTTTTATCCTAAGACTATTTTATAATGCGAATTATGTTGGATGTCAAACGGCTAAGATCCAAAATGGTGCTTGTTGTTTATTATGTAAATATAATTATTAAACCTTTGAGATTTACGCTATCGAGGACAACATCTTCCTGCGGAGCAATCTTTTCTGACAATATATGTATATATTTTTAACGAAAAATTAAAGCGCCAGTTAACAAACATACCTACTAAAAATTATTTAAAAAAAAAATTAATTTTTTATTTGACAAAGTTTCATGTTTTTTAAGAATATTATTGTTTTATTTGTTCAGTTTATAATTGACTAGTCTTAAGATTACATTAATTTTTTTCAAGAAAATTCATTTTTAATTGACAGTTTTAACGTTTGTTGGTAAAATTTACACAATGGCGGCGATTTATAAACAATTGATCGGTCAATAAATATGGCGTTTTTGTTATAAAATGGTTTTGTCTTTATAAAAACGTTATACAATTTATCTGCGCTTTCGCGTGCGTTATACGATATTTAGGTTCTGTAAAGTTGTTTAATACAGGCGCTATAAAAGTAAAGCAAGAAACTGACATTTGAGATGTTGCCAGATTTTATCTGTATTTTTCAAATTATTTGTTTTTTTTTTTAGAATAAAATACTCATTTTTGGTGCAGTTAGGTACATCAAGTAAAATTTTATTTATCCTGCACGACGTTACCTTCATTTTTTATGCAAATAAGGATTTGTAGGTAACACTGCTGCCTAAAATAACAACCCTGTAAGTTCATTTTTCGTATTGGCTATAACGCCTTTGCCTACTGCGCAATAGAACAATAATATCGCTTAAGGTATGCATTGTACCGCACTATACAATTGTGTTCTGTTTTATCCACTTTTTAGCGGTACCTTCTTTATCTACATGTGACCTAACCTATTTTTATTTTTTTTAAAATGCCCACTTTTCTTAATTTTTTCCATTGCGACTCCATTTTAAAAAAATACTTAACTTATTTTGGCGTAATAAGACACTAAATGTATAAACAGACTTAAGCCTGGTTCATATAGATGCGACATGCGAATTTGCGAAATGCGAAAATGTTTTCATTGGTCCATTTGATTTGGCGGGAAAAGTGTTTCGACGTTTCGACAGATTCTGCGAATTCGCAAGATTTGAAATCTGGGGGGCAGGAATCTTGAGATTGATCCAATATTTTGCGAAAATCGCACGAATTTGGCGTGATGCGCATGCGCATTAATGCAGATGCAGATGCCTATTATACGTACGTATTTGTTTTATGTACCCGCGCCATTTTTGTTTATGTTCTGTGTTTATTTCATTTGTATTGCATCGTTGTTGAGTTTTATTTGAAATGTTTCTTGCTAAAGTTGTTTTTTGTTCTTTATAATGGACAAAGAGTTTTTGGAGGTACATTAGTTTCTTATTTATTTATTTATTTCTTTTATAGTAGCATATTTTTTTAGAAGTAACTTTACTATTTAAGTACCTACCCAGAGCTGCAAGCTCTCAGAAAACTTAAATCGTTTTTTTGATTTAAATCGCTTTAATGACTTAAGTCATTTGGTAATAAGTCATTTCTCTAAAACTGACTTAAGACTTAAAATTTAAGTAATTTTCAAAATGATTTGTGACTTAAATATTTTTTTCAAAACAGAAAAAACTTAAGTCATTAATAAAAGGCTTAAATCAGTACATACGATTTAAGTCAGATAGAAACAATTTAAGTCAAAAAAAGATTTAAGTCTTTTTGAAAAAGATTTAAGTCTTTTTAGAAAATATTAAAGTCAGATTTTTCATATATTTTTTTTAACAGCGGCATTTTCTTTTGAACTGCCAGGGGTTCACGCTGCAGCAGATCAAAAACTCCTACCTACAATTGCTACCGCTAGTGAATAAAAAAACCGCTGCGGTAAAGTTAGCTTTTCGGAACCGTTTGACGGTTACATTAAAAAATGTCCTGTCCAAAATGAATTAAAAAAAGTGGGGATTTATAATTTTGTTTGCCAACATTCGTCGTGTTCTACGAAGTTAGGTCTAATTTGTGATTATTAGTGCAAAGTGGAAACAAACGATTAACTTGTAAGAACGAATAAATATTATAAAGACGTATTTATATGATATGATTGTGCGTGAATAAAATTATTCAAACGTGATTGTGCGTGAACGTGAGTAGTCTTGAATTATTACAGTGGTGAATGGTCGTAAATCGTGAATAATCGTGAATCGGGTGTAGTCGTGAGCGGTCGTGAGTAGTCATACATCTTGAGCGGTCGTGAATCGAGAGTTTGGAACTTCCCATCATTACATCCTTAAGGGAGGAATATTTTTTTTCTAGATGGATGTTGAACCAGCTAACAAAAGTTAACAAAACAACAAGTTATCAGTTTTTGAAATACAGCGATTTTAATAAAAATATTTCAACTTTTATCTATTTTAACAGAGTTTGACTCTATTACCGTTTAGAAGTTACCCATTTATGTATATAAAAAATTAGCCTCCCTGTATGTCTACTCTACTAAAAAAGGTGGTTTAAGTTTTTATTTTATTTGTAAGTGTTCTGAAAATAAATCGTTTTAAATTTTTAACATAGTGGTTTATTATCATCTGTATCTACAATAGATTAATAATATCATTAATACCATAAAATTATTATTAACATTTAAAAAATCGTTGTATTGACTTAAGGGTAATTATTTTGATTTAAATCACAATTTTTTATTTAAGTCATTTTATTGACTTAACTCTTAGATCACGATTTAAATAAAAAATATAGACTTAAGTCATAAAAACGACTTACTAAAGGAATTAAGTCATAAGATGACTTAAATCACTTTATATTGATTTAAGAATTTGCGAAAATGACTTGACTTGAAAGAAAATGATTTAACTCAAAGACTTAATACTTAAATCATTTGAACTTTATCTTAGAATTGACTTAAGATTTAAATCATTTTGATTTTAGAATTGACTTAAGACTTAAGATTTAAGTCTTTTTAAAACTGACTTGTTGCAGCTCTGTACCTACCTATAGAAAATGTTAACCAAGTATGGCAAATATCACCTGGAGAGAAAATAATGTCCCTAAAATACCATGGCAAATATCGCCTAGTGAGAAAACAATGTCCCTAAAATGGTTCCGACAATTCGCATCTATGAATAGTAGCTGCGAAATGCGAATATTCGTATTTCGCAAATTCGCAAATTCGCATCTATATGAACTCGGCTTTAAGTAATAAAATTATAACGCAGAACTTGCGATAATTTTATTTTATAAACTTTCTATAAAGAAGTTAATCGGTGTAGTTATAGGATAATTATAAAATAACTTTATACTTATTGTGTAGTGTGTTTACTTCTGCTTAAAAAACAATTTTTTAATGTATCTTATAGAGCTTCAATACAACTTTTATACAAATTCTATTACAACTATCATAAAACCTTGAAACTACAAGTATAAGAATAGGTATACAACTCTATTATAACTTTTATACAACTCTTTTAAAATAATTTTATAAGGGATTGTATAAAACGTTATACAATGGTTAAAAAATGTGTATGAGTTTGGTTCTATAACACGAGTTGTAAGAATATATATACAATAATGTATTAGAATTTCGTCGTTTTTACGATAAAATTATTGTATTAAGACGCATTAAACAATAAAAATGTTCTTTTTGCAGCTCTAGACGATAGTTATAAAACAATTCAGTTCTTTAAGGGATTTATTTTGCTAGTTGGGTGGCTTGTCAGAGTTCTTCTGCATAGTACTATCGCTAACAAAAAAAACTCATACAGCTATATTGTGGCTGTGTGAATAAAACTTTTCCGTCAATGTCAAGCTGACATCGAGCTTTGTCACATCCATTATGACTTTTTTAACATTTTTAACCAAACAATGCAGACGAACTCTGGCAAGCCATTGAAGCCATTTGGAACGAGATAAAGCAAGACGGCGACTTCCATGCTTTGCCGTTTGCGGGCAGTAATTGACAAAAACAGATGGATGACGAAATATTATTTTTTTTTTCAAACTTCAACCTAACTTTCTATTTAATTTTAGACCTTTCAAATGTGACGTATCATGTTAAAAGCCATAATTACTCCAACGAAATGATAGAAAATCAGGAACACTAGATTTTTAAGCTGTATGAGTTTTTTTTGTTAGCGATAGTATGTATAATATTTTGGCATAAAAATTGTCAAAAAGATTCTTATTGTCTCATCCACACCTGTCAATTATTAAAATTATTTCTACTTTTATAAAATATTTCTTGCGTTTTTTTTATTTAATGTATAGCCTAATAAAAGAAGAATATTGTTGACAATTTTGATGCCAAAAATTATGCAAGGTGTCCCTAAACTTATTGGCATAAATTAAGGAAAAGATTATGCAAGTAAAAATAAGACGAAAATCTAAATAAATATTTTTCCCAATTACTTATGTTTCAAAGATATAGGGTGATTAAGTGTTACTTATCATATCAGTTTATTTAATATAACTTTTACTATGGTAGTCTTGTAAAGGTGATATTTTGCGAACAGTCACTTACTACCAAAACACATATTCACACATATTTACAATTGTTAGAGTAAACACAGCGTCGTAGAAACAGGGTTTGCTTAAGCTTATTGTCCCAAACAAATTTTGAGGTTAAATGTAACATTTGATGCAATTTTTCGATTACACAGTTCGGCTACCATTTAAAAGGTGTACCTCTCAAACTTCGATAAAATAAACCGTTTCCGATATATTCGAGATTACAATAATTGTTATATCGCATTATTTAAAAGGATTAAAAGGTATATGATAACAAATTTTATTTTTTAAAACTAAAAAGGGCATTCCATGAGCCTCGGGACTTATTGCCCTGAAAAAATTTGTTACATAGCCACAATACCAGAAACGTTAATAGTTTAGACTTGATACAAATTGGCTCCAGGTATGGACAAAACTCTATTTTGTATAGAGGCTTAATCACATATAACACCTTGCCTGACGATGTCAAATCCTTAAATAATGTTAAGGCTTTAAAAAATTTCTTTTATCCAAGATAAATATAAATGTTTGTGGAGTATGTTGGATGCATGTATCCAACATGTACATATGTTATAATAAGCATAAGTGTGTTTGTATAACACAGACAAACTTGTCTGTGTTGTATAATAAGTTTATTTATTTGGTTAGTATATCTGTACAGATTGTAACTGAAATGTGATATTTATAAATGTGATAATGGTAATATGTAGTAAGTTAAGTTCAAATTTTGAAATTGTATTCAATATTAAATATGTATCGTGTATATAGAGATGCCCTCTATAAACAAGTTCTCATTGTTTCTTGGGATGAATAAAGTATTTTATTATTATTATTATTATTATCATATAACTTTTAAGTCCTTTTTAGTCCTTTAAGGTACGGATTCGTTGATGCGACTCGCGGCTGCGGCTTGCGGCTGCGACCTTAGCCGCGCCACTGCTTAGTACAATTTGTGTGTATACGTTTTGGTTGGCGCGTTCAGTCGCAGTTTGCAACTGAACGCGTCAACCTAAACATATACAAACAAATTGTACTAAGCAGTGGAGCGGCTACGATCGCAGCCGCGAGTCGCATCAACGAAACTGTACCTTTAATGCGATATAACAATTATTCTTATACAATCTCGAATTTCTCGGAAACGGTTTATTTTATCGAAGTTTGAGAGGTACACCTTTTTAATAGTAGCCGAACTAAGTAATCGAAAAATTGCATCAAATGGTATAAAAACCTAACCTCAAAGTTTGTATGGGACAATAAACTTAAGCAAACCCTGTTTCTACGACGCTGTGTTTACTCTAACAATTGTAAATATGTGTGAATATGTGTTTTGGTAGTAAGTGACTTTTCGAAAAATATCACCTTTTCAAGTCTACCATAGTAGAAGTTATATTAAATAAACTGATATGATAAGTAACACTTTATCACCCTGTATCTTTATAACATACGTAATTAGGAAAAATATTTATTTAGATTTTCGTCTTATTTTGACTTGCTTAATCTGCTTCTAAATTTATGCAACTAAGTTTAGGGACACCTTGTATAATAAATTACCTACAATTTTTTTTATGAAAACAGTTTTGTGGTTTGTCCCGTCCGCATGCCTGAAGTGGCCCAAAAATAAAAAAATTCAAAATATGTTTTAGGAAATACCCATTTTTTGCTAAAAAAATTATTCTATCTTAAATTTATTTTCTAAATTTTTAAACCAAATAATCTAAGCAAAATTTAAACGATGTATTAAGAGGGACATTTTTAAAAAAGAATTTTGGACTTGATCTATTGCATTTCGACTGCGTCATGCCACAAATTAATTGCAATTCGGCATTGACGTGCTTTTAGGTTCCTGTTTCACAAAGAATCCGCCGCCTACAGTCAATATCTGCAACTTATCGAGAAGTTTAAGCGGGAAAAGGCGGCTCAGCCAGTCGACACGTCCGAACCATACGATCCCGAGAAGTCTTATGACGATAATGTAGCTGGAGAAGTGAGTAAAATTATTAATATATATTTTTAAGTAGTCAAATACCCAGTCTGTTTTTTAAATGAAAAAATATTAGTAAAAAATTGAATCTGATAAAGGAAAAAAAAATCAAGCCAAATAGTTTGTGGAATAATAAAAATATAGTAAAAACAGTAAACATTTTTTTAACAAAATGAACCAATCAAAGCACTGCATTCTTCGTCACAATCTAGTATGCGGTTATAACTTCATGGAAAATTGCGTACTCTGATTGGGTAATCACTTCATACATGCTAGCTAGAATGCAGTACTCTAATTGGCTAATTAAATTTTAAGAAACATAAGTTTCTTTGTATTAAGTTCGTTTTTTATTTGGACAAATTTTTATTATCATGGTAAATATCAAGCCTAAAATGATTTGGAAGCAAATTTTGGCTGAATTTTTTATATGTTATACTACCCCACTAAAAACGTTTCTATAAATTTTTTGTCTTCGCCCAATCAAAAAATTTCTAAATAAAAAAACTTATGCTGTTTTTATTTGCTCATAACTTTTTAAAAACGGAGTGATCAATGAGATGTTTTTTTATATTTTGTTTTGTTTTTAAACGCACTTAAAAAAAATAGAAGAAACTATTATTTCATATTCTATGAAATTTTTCAAAGTTTCTGTTTTCTTTTTTTTTCAAACTTTTACTATATAAAAAAGTTTCTGAGGATTGAACTCCGGTCTTTTGGTTTTTATGTATTAATATCATTTTTTAAATTTTAAAGTTTATATCAAAATGTTTACCTATATTTATTTAAACTCTGTTATCATAAAACAAAGTTAGATTTGCAAAAAATTAAAAAAATCAATAAAAAAACAAATAAAAAGAAAAGTTGACATTAAACACACAAAAAAAAGTTTTTTTAAATAAAATTAAAATGACGAAGATATGATTGAATATTTTGTTTATTCACTGCCCATCAAAATTAACGCATAATAAGTAAAAAAATTCTAACTCTAAAACGCCTTTACCAATATTTATGACATTTTGTATAAAAATACTTCAACTTATATCTCAGTTCACGTGTTCGAGGGTTTTTCAAAAAAATATTTTTAAAGCCCTTTAATTAAATAATAAAAAAACGTTCTAAAAATAACTTTTTTTTAAGTTAATTAAAAATATGGTGTTAAAAACCGTAGTTTTATTAGTATACCCTAAAAATTTAGTACAAATCAAACGAACATTAACAAAGATACAGCGCTTCAAAATCGTAAAAAATGACAATTTTTCAGCAAAATAATCAAAAAGGGGTAATTTTTACCGACTTTGAAGCGCTGTATCTTTGTTACTGTTCGTTTGATTTGCACAAAATTTTTAGGGTATACTAACAAAAATACGGTCTTTAACACCATATTTTTAATTCTCTAAAAGTTATTTTTAGAACGTTTTTTTATTATTTAATTAAAGGGCTTTAAAAATATTTTTTTGAAAAACCCTCGAACACGTAAACTGAGATATAAGTTGAAGTATTTTTATACAAAATTTCATAAAGATTGGTAAAGGCGTTTTAGAGTTAGAATTTTTTTACTTATTATGCGTTAATTTTGACGGGCAGTGTATTTTTTTCTAAAAGTAAGTTTAAAAATAAAAAATAAGTAAAAAATTTCAAATAATATAACTGAATATTTTGTTTGTATTTTTTTCTAAAAGCACGTTTAAAAATAAAAAAAGAACTAATATGACTGAATATTTGTTTGTATTTTTTTCTAAAAGTACGTTTAAAAATAAAAAAAGAAGTGAAAAAATTTCAAATATGACTGAATATTTTGTTTGTATTTTTATATGAAAGGTATGTTATAAACAAAAAAAACAGATAAAAGCGTTCCAAATAGTAAGTTTTTAAAAAAGTTATGAGCATTCAAAAAAAGCACAACTTTTTTTTGGTTAGGTAAAAAAAAATTGAATAAATTTACAGAAAAAAGGGGTCGGGCTTAAAAGTGCTTGATTTGCCGTGGAATGTCCCATATATAAGTATTCTTTAAAGAAGAAACCATCATTAATTTTTTAAAACATTGCCAGTAAAATGAATGAATGAACTAAAACAGGCAAAATTAATTTTTTTTTCTTCAATTTGAAAATAGTACATTTTTAAAGCCTAGTAAGGTTTAAAAAGACGATGATGTTGTGAATTGTTGTGACGTTAATTGTTGTGAATTAAACTGGCTTGATAAACCATAAATGAGGTTGTAAATTGAATCCTTGATGGATCACGAATTATTGATGATTGTGCAATTTGATTGAAACACTCACTTAATTAAAATAACACAACTTTATTAACTATGTACAATAAAAAATGTTGCCCAGAGATCTGCTGATCCTGAAGCGAACATGTTAATCTTACGACTGCTTAATATTGACTCTTAAAAAATGTGAAAGAAGTGAAAGTTATACCCCTTAAATCAAGTGGCTGTTGCGCCGTAGGCAAACAGTTATGCCCGCCCTTAGGGTTGACAGCCAATCAAGGATGGACATTATTTGTAACATTGTAATGTCATCCTAGGACTATAAAATAAATAGGTATACAATTGATCATAAAAATAATACTACTTAACTATAATATTAACAGGTATAAAATTGACCATAAACCGGCCACCTTGAAAGCTTTGAGGCTTTCAAATAAGCCCTGTGCACTATAAAATAAAAACATATCTACTTATGAATGAAAGTAAAAAATTAAAACAAACAACTTATTATCTATTGCTACAATTACGGTTATAAATGATCTATTGACTAAATAATTACAGTAAGTACAGTTGTTGTCATTGTCATGACAAAAATAGCGAAATGATTGTTTTGATTTAACTTCACTGAGGTTTGCTATTTTAATTCATTTTCCGTCGGTAATAAGCACACTTTATTGACTGATCTTTTTGTAATAGTGCCGGACGGCATTTTTAAAGATACCACCCGCACTAATCCGTCTTGACCAGGGTGCAGCTCGACAATTCTGCCCATGGGCCATTTTCGCGGTGGCACATTATCCTCTTTAAGGATCACTAAATCACCAATTCGCACATTGTCCTTGATAAACTGCCATTTGTTGCGAACTTGAAGTTGAGATAAATATTCTCGCGACCATCGCTGCCAAAAATGTTGGATTATCTGCTGTTGACGTTGAAATCTGTTCAATCGACTTTCTTTGATATCGGTGACATCTTCCTCAGGTAGTGCTGCCAATGAATCACCAATAAGGAAGTGACCAGGGGTTAATGGCAAAAAGTCGGAACAGGGCCGGCTTAAGGCAATCAAGCGCCTTAGGCACTTAAAAATTTGGCGCCTATTACTAGATACTATACTTATACTATACAATCTGGTAGCTTAAGGGCGCCCGGGCATACTAACCTTATTATCCCTTATAAATTAAAATATTTTTTATTAAAAAAATACATATAAAACATAAATTAAAAATGTTTAAGACGAGTTATTTTTTTAGACATATTTTGATTTAGTCTGTAAGTAATATCTATAGAGTCTCTTAAAATGAATAAGTCAAAAATAACTTATAATTATTATAAGTCATATTTAAATTATTGTCATAGCGACAAAGCAGTCTCTAATAATTATTAGCAGTCACTAATTATAATAAGTCAAATTCTACGGAATGAAACAGTCAAATTAGTAGACGCACCACTTCTACTTATTAAATTTATGATATCTGTCAATAAATAATGTTAATAATATTGTTAAAGTTGAATATATTTTTTGTGTTGGTACTAAACTTTTTGCATCTTTATTTTTATGGACCATGGAGCCTATATGCATTTAACGCCGCAAGAATTAAAAACGATTAAAGAAATCAGTTACTTATTACTCTCAGTAACAGTAAAATATGGCGACTTATCTTAAATTAGTCAAACTTTAACTAATTAAGTATACTATAGTAATAAATAAATATTTAAAAGTAAAAACGACTATTTAATTAGTAAACAATGCTGATACTAATTCAAATAGTAGAATTTTTACTATTTCATTTCAAGAGAGTAAATAACCATATTTGGTAATATAAATTATAATTATAGGTAGTTTAAATAAACTTAAATTGACTTAAGAGTTAAAAAGTAGTTAAAAAAGGGTAAAATAAACCAAAAACTATCAAATATTAACTTCTTTTTAACCAAAGTTAACCAAGAAGTTAAGTTTAACTATCATAACGTTAATTTTATCATAATTAAATTTCCCACTTATTACAAAATAATGTTAATTTAACCAGTGGTGCTACTTGGGTAGTAAGTATTTAAAAAATATAAAACAGCTTTAATTCCCTGTAGTTTTATGTAAGGCATTACACCGCGTTATTACAAAGGAAGCCGCTGTTTTATAAAATAATAAAAACAGTAAAGAATATTCGGTGCTCTACCGTTCTCATAATTGTATATAGTTTATTTGCTTTATTTTTTGGAAAAATAAACCATTTGGTAACAATTTTTTTAAGTTGGTTGGGGACAATGCGCCTATTTTTTTGTGGCGCCTAAGGCAATTGCCTTGCCTGCCTAATGGGTAATATGGCCCTGAGTCGGAAGGATCGTTGGAAATAGCGGTCAAGGGACGGGAATTTAAGCACGCTTCTATTTGGACAAGTACAGTGTAAAGTTCTTCAAACGTTAAAAACACATTGCCAAGAATTTTATTTAACTGATTTTTAACTAATTTAACACTTGATTCCCACAGTCCACCCATATGGGGTGCCTTAGCAGGTATAAAATGCCATTGAATATTGTCTTGTTGTAAATGTGAAATTATTTTCTTTTGATTATTTTGAGTTGCTAAAAGATTAAAAATTGCCTTTAATTTATTATTTGCACCCACAAAATTTGTACCGTTATCCGAAAAAATGTCAGAGGGCTTTCCTCTACGTGCAACAAATCGCTTGAGAGCATTAATAAATGAATCAGTTGACAAATCCTTTACTAATTCGATATGAATCGCCTTTGTTGTAAAACATATAAATAGACAAATATAGGCTTTAAAAATTTT